AAAACCCAAATATGCCAAAATATGCCAGTTCATTATCTTATGCCAGTTCAATTTCAAATATGCAAAATTTGTGGAATATGGCATCAAAAATGCCAATATGGCAACCCTGGTACCCAGCTGCGTTGAGAAAAGTTGGTTCTTTTCTGTTTAGCGATCACATCACGCGCGATTTAGGACAATCCCCATATTAAAGGGTGGTTGGGGTAGTGTTAATTGAATGGTGATTAGTACTAACCCCCCCCCCCCCCCCATAATATAAGATTTTCCTAAATCACGCAAGATGTGGTGGCTAAACAGAAAAGAACCGAAAAGTCTTTCTTAATCAGAGCATGAGATTTCATGACCGTTGTTAACATAAAAAATGTACTTGAAATGTTTCTTCTCAGACGTTCAGCTGTCATCCTTTCTGCGATCACACCCACCCCCTCTGCCCCTCTCCACCCCCCAGTTACCATTACCTTTCCGATTTCTCCACTGAGTCTGAAGAATCTCTTGCAGTGCACAAACTCCGTTGCAACAGCGAGGATCCTGAAATACTTTAGGTAGATTTTTAACTCCAAATTTTGCCAGGGCAGCATCGTTGAGTTACTTTTTCAATTTCCAACTGCCAAAGGATTTTTTTTTTAAATGTGCGCAACAATACACTAAGTCCAAGAAAAAAAACCCACATAGAATTGGAAGAAAGCGCCAGAAATTGACAACACCCGCGGAGGAATCAGAAATTCCGACAAGACATAGACATATGGAGGCCAGCCATGCAGCGTGCAGTGGAAGGTGATACCCCAGAGACCTTTTGTTATTTTTAGATGGCAAAGACAAGGCACTGGGCCAATAAACAGAGGCAGATGTTCAACCTGATCGTGGATGGAGTCAACAAGCGCTGGTCTCCTGAAACTAAATTAAAATGGTCACAATTTCAGGTGTCTCCACCCCCCCCCCCCCCCCCCCCCCCTTTAACCGGTGTGTTGGTTTGTTCTCTGATTATTAAATACATCGCGGCTGGGGCCTTTAGAGAGATCTAGGGTCTGTGTTGTGAAGTATTTTTTTTTTAGCCATAGCTCTAATTAAGTAGCATTCCAGAAGTTTGTCTAGAATGTTTGTATGTGTATGTTGTGGGGGTGAGTGAAGATGTGCAAATACAGGGAGGTTGTGTTTGTATCTGTGGCCACCATTGGGCTACTGGGGTTGCCACTTCTGTTGATCTTGCTTTTCTTTTCCTCCAGATATCCCATCAGAGTGTTGTGGGGGAGATGTAATCCTCTTCTGTGTGCTCTTACTGATAATACTGTATAAGTTGATCTTTCCTTTTGAGCTGTTCTTGATGCCATTGTTCCATGTTTTGTGTGGTCTTTCCCTGCTCTGTGTTTATTGTATTTTCCCCCAGCTCTCTGTGGCTACCAAGGCATTTCTATCTAATGGCCTAACCATCTCAGCTGCTGCTCTATAATGAATTTCATGACTACTTTGACTCCTCATCTTCTTATTATATCTTTATTTTTGATTTGATCTCTAACTGGCCATTCCAGCAGCTCTTATAAGATACACGCCTTTGTTGTAATGATTGTGCGTCCATTATTTGTTGCCGGGGAATTTCATGTTTCACACTAGTAGAATAGGCATCCTGCTGGTATTCTTTGATTGCTTGTCTTCCTCAGTAACACAAAGTCAAGCCACCATACATATAACCACACCACATAGCCGAAGGAATTTTATCTGTTTAGAATGTACTGTGATGAATACAGCATCTCAGAAACACATAAGTTTCTTGGTGTTGGACATGTCATACTGGTCCATTAAATATGGTACAAAGAAACCATTACCATATTTAAAACTAAGTCTATCTTCATGTTGAAAGTGATCAAATAGTAAATTTTTTTTATATTGTTTTTTTTTTTTTAAATTGGAAATACTGCAGTGTGTCATGTCAAGTTATATCCCTTTTTCCTAGATCTGTCTCAGCAACACTTCAAAAAACACTCATGTTTGTCAGTAATTATTAACTCATCTGCCTGACTCACCGCCTACATGCACATGCACGCACGCACCCAGCAACACACACACACACACACAGAGGGAGAGGGGGAGAGAGAGGGGGTAATGGAGTTGGATAAGACACGTTTACTTTCCTACCTGACATTATATAATGACATCACACCCTGTATTCTGCATGTTGTGGGCACATGTGAATACACGTACCTTTGTTGCCCTGTGTTTCAACATAGGAGTAATTCTAATGATGTTGCTGCTGGTGGAATGTGACGTCAGGCTGTATGCAGAGGATTGCAGCCTAAGAATCTCCACCTACAGATACATAATTTTTTTTTGTTAAAATGGATATAGAAGATTAGCATTGCCTGCCTTGAATATAGATAACAAATATTAGGCTGCCTTATCTTCTAGGTTAACTAGAAACCAGTTTTTTTTTTAATCAAAGATATGCAGTTTATTTTAATATGTTATTAATGTGGTTTTTTTTTTAATTTTATTTTTCCAGCACTCTAAACTAAACGAAGTTTGACTTACTGTCAGTAGAAACATTTGTGAATGAATTACTTATGGAAATCAAGTCAGCAGAAACATTTTTGAATCTAGGACCATCATGCAGATGATAATCAACTTCAGGAGATTGCCAGGTGGTTAAAAGTATGTTTATAATATTGTGAGTTTGTGTTTGTGGTAGCATAGTGTTCTTACTAGCTTAGCCAGACGTTGGCGTCAAGTTCCAACCCCACTGTGGCTTATGAGGTTCAGCAAAGGTTCGTATCATGGCACGGGGATTGGTTAGGGCTACGGTTGCTGCCAGGGGTGCCATGGTGCTATTTGGGGATTGATTAGTGCTACGGTTGCTGCCAGGGATGCCGTGCTGCTATTTGGGGATTGGTTAGTGCTACGGTTGCTGCCAGGGGTGCCATGGTGCTATTGTGGCTTGTATACTTTGTTCGGAGAATGCTCATCAACGAACAAACATTACACCCCCCACCCCCACCCCCCACCCCCACCCCCCCCCCGACACTTCGACAAGGTGCAAGGTGGAAAAGAAGAAGAAGAAGATACTTTGTTCGGTAGTTATATGTTTGAATTCTTACAGAGGCAAATTGTTACAGTTGACCAGGGGTACGGTGTTAGCCCAACTGACAGTCATCCTAACTCTCCCATTGTGCTATTTATGTCCACTCAAACACCTGGGCTATTCCTCTCGTTTTGTCTGTCCTGTGCAGTTCTTTCAATATCATGGATGGAATCCAGCCTGACTCCTTTGGCTAATGCCAAGCACTTTGGGCTTAAGAGTTTTTGTTGGGTATCCGTGTTTTCTTTTTCCATTTGTGTCACATTTCATTACCTATTTAAAGATTCTATGTTCACTTATCCTCAAGTTTCTAAAATCATTTTTTTTCTTCTTTTTCTTCTCATAGCAGCCCCAGAAGACATTTTTGAAAAACTGAAATTTAGAGTTCCATATTTTGCCAGACAATGCCCTGAGAAATGAAAAAAAATTGGCCAGTATGATAATGGCCACCAAGTGCCAGGTGGTGTATACAAATATGAGGCTAGTTCTGTATTGATAGTTTATCTCTCTGGGCGTCGCTGTGGCAGAGCGGTTAGACCCTCGGCGCGGATCGGAAGGTCGTGGGTTCGCTTTCTGGCGGAGCTGGACTTTTTCAAAAATGACCTTGGCTCCCAGGTCGACCCAGCCTTGAGTGGGTACCGGATGCACCCCCGGGAAGTAAAGGTGGATGGTGTGATGCTGATGACAACACCCATCTTGTGCCGATTGGTCTATAAAAATATAGGTCTAGCCCTATATGCCTTTTTTTTTTTTTAAACTTTTTTATTTTTCTCTGAAAGTCCTGGAAAGTAAAAGTGGCGACCGCCGGTATAATGTTGACTGCCCATCGATCTACAAAAATATGATTCTAGCATCGTATACCCAATACACCACTAGCATTTAAATGGTCCTTTATTGTCTTATGATCAACCCTGGCCTAAAGTCACATAAGTACTTACCCTAGGCACTGAACATGACCGTGATATTCAATGAAAAACTAGTTTAGAAATTTCTCATATGGTTTCTTGACAAGGTAGATGGGGTCAAGGTCTTTTGGGAACAAGCAATGGAATCAGTAGAGATAGCAGATTATTGTGGACTGGAGAGAATGAGGCACCTAGGTGTAACCAGAGGGTCTGACCCGCTCACTACATTCAGAGGAAATGCAGGAGAGACATATTACCAGATTGTGACCAGTATTATCAGTATTGGAACTCTGCGCTGGCTGCTGAATATGAGGACGGAGCATGCATGGGAATGCCTCGAGTGCTGTGATGTCAATTCTTGACTCAACTCAACTCATATGGTGTTTAGAGCCTCATTTGGGGAGGGGGGCGGAAAAGACTCACTGCCTGCCTAACAAGCATGATCTTAAGGTGACTAATCAAGAGTGCTTCCTTTAAAGTCAGAGTGCCTGAGAAGCAAGGAACCAACAGTCTGCATACAAATAATGCAAATCTTTGAAATGGATGTCCACACAAAACTCAAATTCTGGAAAAAGACCAAAGTGATAACGATTGTTAATGCTACCTAGGACAAGGCAAAAGCAAGGCAAAAACATTGCCAGAGACTAATTGATGAAGTAGAGAGTGAAGTGAAAAGGCTTGGGTGAGATTGAGGTAGCAGATGATAGAATAACTTTGTTGGTTGAGGGCCTGTGCTCTGTTGGGATGTAAAGGGCAGAAGGAAAAAATGAGGAAGAGGGTATGAGGAGGGTTGTTGAATATACGGATGAATGTATGGAACTGATGCTAGATGGAGAATCTTCAAAGTGGTATGTGATAGCACTGTTTTTCTGCAAAGAAGATGCCAAACGATGGTGTGTTTTTTGCTTTTAAGAAAACTTACTAACTGTATTAATTTATTTGTTTTATATTTTATTGTTTGTTCATTGAATACTGCTATAAACATTTAATATTTTTCAAAATCTGTTTTAGTGAAGAAAGCATGAACCATGGCAACTGATGGTCAGATATCAGCAGGGCCAGGAAGTAACCTGGATATTTTGCGCCAACGAGCACAGAAAGCTGCAGAATTTTACCAGCATCAGAATCATATGGAAGAAGGGAAAGCACTTTCCACTCACTCATGTGACCAAGATTATCAATCTGCGCAGCATTTCATGAACAATTACAATAGCAATCACAGCTTAGGAGCACAGTTTAATTCAGAGAGTGGGCGTAATATTTCAGGAGGAAGTGCCTTTGGCACTAACATCAACAGAGTTCATTCTGATGATTCTTTCGAAACTTCACTAACGTCAGCTTCCAGCAGTAGTTTTTATCATCCGAAAACTAGGGCTGGAATTATGGATATGAGAAGTTCGTACAATGAGCGTATCAGTGGTAACGGTACAGGGTTTCGGTCTCGGACATTCCGAGGCTCTCAGATAGATTCCAGGACTAGAACACAGACTTATGCTGCAGAGAACAACCAGCCTTCAGCAGGTCAGCAAAATAAAACCACAGCACATCTGTACAGTCACCAGCATCCAGCACCACAAAAGCCAGCCAGATCTTACACGACAAACAGAATCATGTTATACAGGAGTAGCAGCGATTTGGAAGTTGACTCTGCCGAGCTGGAAACACCACCTCCAGCACCTGCTATTCTTCACAGGGAATATGGCAGTACATCCTCCCTGGATATGCTTGGTACAAGTTCGGATAACTTCTTTTCAATGCTTAGTGAATTTAGGCAGCATCATGCTTTAGACCAGCGCAGTCCAGCACCACCGCGACTTAAAGAGCTGTTGCAGGGGCGGTTAGAATCCTTGTCAGAACCTCAAATACAGACAGCTACAGAGTCTTCCAGAGGAGGTGTGCGGTTCTTAAATGGGCTAGCTTCTAATGAGAAAGATCTATCTGGTGATGATGTTGACTCAAAGTCCAGCAAAAGCAAGCTCAAACATAAAGAGAGAAAACAGAGAGCAAAATCCATCACAGGCGAGGGAAGTGCTAGTATATTAAAAAAACTCAGAGGGAAGATTGAAAGTGACCTGGCCAGTGCCAAGTCGGAAGAGAAAGGAGTGGTCACAGAGGATTTACCTGTCAGAAACGACGAACATTACAGACGACGTGCATTTGTTCACTTTGACTGCCAGTCAGTTGGAGTAGACCTCAGTAAGGTCATTTACCAACGGACTCATGGGGCATCACATAAGACTAATACTACCACAGGTGCTTCTGCGGCCTCAGGTCAGCGGACTAGCCTGGCTCCAGACAAGGATGACCAGGATTTATTAACAGACACAGACGAGGGTGATGGGAAGAGCAATGACCTAGTTTTGTCTTGTATATTTTTTCGGAATGAGCTAGGAGGAGAGGATGAAAGAACTGTAAGCTTAACAAAAGTAACAGCCCAGAAACGTATTGCCGGTTCTCACTCTTCCCCTGTTACACCAACTGCTGGCTACAGAACTCAGGTTTGTTTATTATCAGTGTCTTATGTGACCATTAACTCTTGTTACGTCTGATTAGTCCCATGTTGTATTCAGGATTGTTAACTCTCTGTAAGTTTAAAGCTCTTAAAAAGCAATGATTATACACGACAATCATCTTCACAATCATTGCAGGTAAGTGTAGGTTGAATTGTTTCACCATCTCACACATTCACAAGAATCACAGATCAGGTCAGTCTTCTTGTCTTGTTGCTTCCATTGCTGCCAAGCCATCCAGATATTTATCACCTTGCCTTCCTCTCCCTCTCTTTCCACAATCTTGCCAGTTTTTTTTTTAAACCAAGTTCTAAAGTCTGCTCCCAAAGTCTGTTCTGTTAATGTGTCCACACAACAAAAAAAGTAAGTGTATAACTATACTAAAAAATTCTTCATTTGGGTCTTGTTCCAGATCTTCAGTTTTGCATCCACATCCATTTTATAGATCTGGCTTATTTGTATGCAGACTTTTGGTTTCCCACCTTTCAGGCACATGCACTCTGACTGCAAAGGAAATACCTCTAATTAGTTGCCTTTTATGACATGCTTGTTGGGGACCAGTGGATCTATTTTTTTTCCCCTCCTATTATAAGGCCCTGGAACCCACACAAAGGGCAGTAACTACAGCTTCAATGAACCTAGCTGTAAAGTTCCAACTCAGGTTCTGGAGCATACCTAAAGTTCATAAGTGGACTCACTACCAAAACTTTCCACCGAAGTGTACGAACGCTGAATATGAAGAAGAAGAGAAGGGGAATGTCTTAAAAAAAGATGCATTGAAGGAGTCACTGACAACCAGAGACTTCACACCATGTCACTGACAACCAGAGATTTCACACCATGTCACTGACAACCAGAGACTTCACACCATGTCACTGACAACCAGAGACTTCACACCATGTCACTGACAACCAGAGACTTCACACCATGTCACTGACAACCAGAGACTTCACACCATCACACCATACCAAGAAACTGAGCTCACCCTGGCTGGGCTACCTATCATCTGTTAAACCGTGGTGGCTTACAGCACAGAGCAGATATTAACAAAACAAGTATAACAAGTTAAAAGTTTATGCATTTTAACTGAATGAGGCTTTAAAAAATGGATTAAAGAAAATCTTTAACTAGCGAATTTCCTAAAAAATCTGCCTGTTAAGCTTCTTAAAAGATTATTTTGCATTATGAGAACAATTTTTATTTCCACACTTGTTAAACAATCCCATCGCAGTGGCTGTTAGCGTGCAAGTCAGCTGTCTGTACTTTTGTAGTGTTTGTGGCAGCAACGAAATTGTCAGTAGTTTGTAATGTAAATTGCTTACTTACAGTATTAGGGCACTGTGTTCTGCCCCTCTTCTACAAGATGAACAGACAGACACACATATTCTCTTTACCTGAGGAAAATAAAAACGCGTATGTAATAAAACTACTGCTGATGCCGTCAGAATTGGAACAGCTGAAGCTGAGGACAGAGTGCTTATGGGAGCGCTCCAAGTGTAGTGATGTTGGTTGTTAACTCAGCTCAGCTCAACTCTCAAGATCTTCTTCATATTATCCATCTCTATGTCTTTTTCTCCTCATTTTTTTTCATCAGGTCCTAATTTCTTTTGTCCTTTGAATTCCAGAGAAAGGACGTTTTAGACTTTTTAAAAAAAAGTTTGTGTCTGGTTTTCTCAATGTTTGTTCAATCCAGCACCAGCTTATAGCATATTTTCCGCACCAGCTTATAGCATATTTTCCTAGTCTCTTGATTTGCTAAAATCTTTTTTTTTTTTTTTAGTTCTCTTGCTAAGCTGAACTTTTGTAATTCTGAAATTTTATTTCACCACTTGTGGCCTTTCTAAGCGCTGTTACGCCACATGCTCACACAGAGACTGGACAGAGACACATTTTACATATACACACTAATCCTTGAAACTTGGCTTGTAAAGTAATAAAGTCAGTGATCACAAAAACTTACAGAATTTCCAGTTCCTCTGTTGACGCTTTCAGAAGCAGAGGGCATCCCTTTAACTAGTCTGTGAGGATGTTCCATAGACTAACTTATGGATTTACAATGGATTCAGCTTGTTATTTATAAAGTTGAATGATCTCCCATTTGTATATATGTGAGTTAAATGCTTGGCATACGTATACTACACTTTATTATGCTTAAATTTTCATAAATTAGTAGTTTTCACAATAATAAGTATCCCATTCAACCCGCTGGATTAAAAATAAGATTAAAATGTAGTGTCCAATGTATTTTCAGTCATGAGAATAAGCTGGGTTATCATCACTGCACTCCAGACATGTTCATAGGTGCTCAGATCCTCCCCTCAGTATGAACCCCAGCGCCTAGTGGCTAATAGTACCAGTTCCATGTTGATTAACAAGTCCTGGTGTGCGTCTCGTTTTTTGCTTTGCCCATCTTAACTACTAAGTTTATCATTCTGGCTAATGATGTGGATTCACTGCCCCCAAAGTCCTCCACCTTTTCCATTTCTCAGAGGGTGTTAATAATATCACCATAATCCATTTTTGGTCATGTTTTGGGTTGTAAAGATATTACAACCTAGCTGGAAACCGCAAGGCAGCATTCCAACCTCCCTTTTAAGAGTGAATGTAGAAGAAGCTGAAGAAGATAAAAAATACTGCCTCAGTATTAATGAGGAGTATGCCTTGTCTTGGTTCTTTAGTTTTAAATATTCTAGAGCTTGATTCATACCTGGTTTACTTGAAAGATCTTGAAAGCAACACTAATGACACCAGTATACGCTGCGGCTGTTATTTACAATCTGTATTCCTGAACTGGTGTTTTCTTTCCTAATCTTAAATATGTGTTATGTGACATTAATTGCATGTTGTAGAATAACTTTTGATCATGTACAGCAGCAGTTTCCAATTTGCTAAGAACCCTTTTGGTGTGGGTTCCAGGGCTCTATTATAGGGAAAACAAGAAAAGACCCACTGACTACCCAAAAGCATGTCGTAAGTGTCAACTAATTGGGAGCTTCCCTCAAAGTGTGCCTCTGCCTAAGAGGCAAGGAGCCAACAGTCTGCATACAAATTAGTCAGATCTGTCAAATGGATGCACACGCAGCACTCAGGTTCTGGAACAGGACTGCAGTCCAGAAGTGGACAAACAACCAGAACTTTCCACCGGAGTTTATAGCCGGTGAAGGCGAAGAAGAAGGAGCTAAGAACCTGCAGACCCCTTTCATTTTCAAAATCTGCCATGGAACCCATACTAATATAACTGAAATATAATTTATAAATATTAGTGTTGTTTTTGTAAATGATGTCATAGACCCCTCAGATTTGTTTCGTGAGCACCCTGGAGTGCATGGACAACCAAATTAAAAAGATTTATCTACAGTATTGATTAAGATTTCATTGATATACATGCATGTTTTCACTTCAAAAGAGAGCTTTTATCTGGGAAAACATTTAATCTTTCAACAGGTACGCCATCCTGCCTGTTGTGGGGTGGCCATTTTAGACTCCTCTCCATCCCCGTCAGGCCAGATACTTCCACCGCTGGTATCCCACCGTGGCCACGTCATTGAGTATGTGGACCACGGGGCCTACTATTACAGGCATTTTTTTTACACTCATGGTAAGTGTTTGTTTCTTGGAAGTATGTAAATAATCAATTGCTTGACCACCGTAAAGAGGGTGCTAAAATGTTCCAGAGAAACGGTTCTGCTGTATTGCAGCGAATCTTGGAATGTCACTTAACAAATTAGGAAGAATTTGAAAGCAACAGAGATGTGGTTTCTGAGTCAAATTTTACGAATATCTTGGACGGCCAGAGTAACTAACAACGATTGCTTGAAAGAAGATAATGAAAGTAGATCTCTAAATACAACAATAAGAAAGAGACACTGTTCTTTGGCCACATAATGAGAAGAGAGACGCTGGAGAACATCGTGACAACTGGAAAGATCAGTGGAAAAAGGGGTAGAAGCAGACCAAGAGAGATGATGCTGGATGGGCTGAAAGAATGGCATGGAGGGATATCATCAAGAGAGCTGTTCCAGGCAACCAGGGATCGTGATCTGTAGAGACGCATGAGCGCCTACGCCAGTAGTTGGCAGGGCACATAATGATGATGATGGACCATACATTGGCTAGTTAAGCATTCTTATAGTCAAAACACCTTTTGTAGTCTTAATTCATTCTGTACTAAGAAAGTTACTCAAGGTGTCATTATTAACTCTTTGAGTCCCAGAGGATTTGGCATCACAGGCCCAGGGGGTATTAAAGAAAGTCATAAAATCGGTGCATCATGCATTCACTGGGCTTTTAGGTAGGAATCTATAAACGTATGATGTGTTCCTTGGGACTCAAAGAGTTAATACAGTGTACACAGCAGCCATTTACTGATGTACATGCCAAATTTGAATCCCATGTCTCTGCACAGGCATATAGAAAAAAAGGACCTTTTTCCACACCTTAGGCATAATGGGCATATAGGGTTCTACCTATATTTTATAGACCAATCAGCACTCAGTGGGTGATGGAGTCACCATCATGCCAGCTTCCTTTACTTCCCAGGACTTTACCAGCGAGCCAAGGTAATTTTGAATAAAGTCTGGCTCCATCAGGACCCGAACCCATGACATTTGGATCCACAGGTGAATGTCTGGCGGCTACACCACGGTGGCTTCCTGTGCCTAAAGAGAAATCCAGTAACTGAATGTGACTGAGACGTTCCAGTGTCCATCTACCATTATACTGAACAACAACAAAAATGGTGTCCCAGAACTTAATTAACCCTTGCACATAAAACACATTTACTTGAGTGATCTCTGGGGATTGTCACCTGAAGCTGTGGAGTTTATGCTTTATGTGGCACTCTTGACAAGCGGCGAGCCATTCTGCGGAGGGAGACTGAGCTATTTGGGATCAGACATGGTGCAATGAAGTCGATCCTTTCAATTTTAACTTTAACACATGTATTTTCTTCTTTATTGACACTTTTCAGTTTTTACAGAGGATAGTGTTTATTGCACTATAGGTAGACATAAGAATCACAGCTTGTGGTGATGACAAGACCAGCTTGTATTATGAATAAGGCACAGAAACTGGGCAGTGTTGAGTTATTTATTAAGAACTGGCATCCTAGCATTCGGGTCACTTTCATAAGGAATCAGTCCCCCATCTTCAGCAGCAAGCGCTGAGTTCCAATTCCAAAGGTATCAGTAACGGTCTGATTGTATATTCATCTCACCCCTCCCCTGAGCTACCCGCACACAATGGAGATATATACATTGTTCTTTGTGGGTTTTTTTTTTTTAAAATCTCATTGAAGTTTGTAATACTGTGTTTACAAAATGTTCATCTTCTAACAGACCACCAGAATGTGTTTGGCACTATGTCAAGAGTGTTAAGCACGTCATAATGACAGTCTCCCCCCCCCCCCTCCCCCCCCCCCCAATTTTGACATGCAAAAAAGAGGAGCTTCGCTCTGTTTTCCATTTTTTTTATCAATGGATGGGTGAAACCTATAGGAATTCATTGACAAATTAAGGTCCCGTATGGTGATGCATGCCTGTCAGTCCAGCAAGTGTAGGAGTAGAGTAGGAATTTTCAGAACAGCATGACTTCTGTGACAGAGTGCTCACAATTCTTGTTTGCCTGACCCGGTTGTGAACAGTGTGTCACAAATCACGTTGCCTCGTACTCATTCACCAGTGGTGTATTAGGTTTCTGATGCTTGACTCATATTTTTAAAGATCACTTGGCATCCGGTGGGAGATGGTGGTCAACATCACAGCACCTTTACTTCCACGGACATTATCCAATAGCCACTTTAGACTAAATTGACCTGGGAGCCAAGATCAGTTTTGAGAAAATTCTAATAACGGTATTGTCCAGAGAAAGCTAAACCAAATCATTTCTAGTGTTACACAGTCTTTAAATGCCAGTATATGATCATGTCTGCAGTGATCTGTTCTAAAAAAGGGTAGTTAAATTTCATTTCATCTTATGTGCACCTGCACAGTATTTAAAAGTCCAGGATATTAGAATAATTATTTAAAAAAATAGTATTATTACCTCAGTGGCTTTTTGAAAGCGAAGTTGATATCACATTTTCCCCACACGCCTTAGGGGTGGTTATCATAGGGTACCAACATGAATCACTCCATAAATTTTTGTGTTTTTTAAGGCCTCAGTGAATGTGTTCCATTTAATCCTTCACACGGTTTATGTTCATTGATAACCCCTTTATATATCTGTATGTACTTCTTTAAAAAAGTAAAATGTAAATACATTTTTTGGGGTGGGTGGGGGGGGGGGGAATTGAGATTCAGTCCCAAGACCTTTTGGTTGGCTGGTAAGCATCTAACCTCTGCGCCGCTGCGACTTCCTGATATCGTGGTGCTCTGCTGTTGACCTCTGAAACCACTCTAGGACTGATCACTGACATTTGACAGTATGGTCTTCAGCAATATTGACAAGAAGTATGTTGTCAACAATACTTATACCGTTATTGTCATCATGAAGAAATCATTTATAGATGTCATCACTGCCCACCAGAAAGACACCGCTTGAGCTTTTTGTTAATCCTTTTGCTTAATATATTTTTAGCTCAAGATGTTATGTCCACCGTTATGTTAGCCCTAGCCTTGAATTCTGGGACCATACTTTCCATTACTGTTTGTAAATACCATTAAAAGATCTATCAAACCAACTGAAAGTAGAACAATAAACATCACCACGTTCGTCACAGTTGAAAAAACATTCCAAATGAAATCCGCAGCTCACAGTGTCATGCCATGCATTCAACTCAGAAGCTGGGCGATGAAACTATATCCAGTCTACAAATGGAGCAAAAATGCATCGGCCACTGTCCGGCAAAATAAAAAAATGTGCCTTGGCTCTGAAAAATGCCCCTGCCTAGCATCCAATTTGAACGGAAGGTCGGTGGTGACACAAGCTTTCATGTGGCTAGAATAAGCACAATAAAGAATATTCAGTACCATAAATGCGAACAGAAATACACAAAAATCATCTAATCAAAAAAAAATTCATGAGAAATCACATACCTGTCTGGCCAGTTGAATCTCTGATATGTGTGGCACCACCAGAAATAAATGCTAACCAGAAAAAGGCTGCAAGGACATGGAATGTAACTAAAAAAATATGAAATAAAACTGTATTGGATGTTAGGTCCCCTGGACAAATTGGAGCCTATTAGATTAAGAAGATGTTTCTCGAGAGACTTGAAGACTGTGTCTCGTGAGTGGTTAGACTTGATGGTCGTAACCTCCGCGTTGAAGACACCTTGTTTTTGTTGTTGTTGTTGTTGTTGTTGTTGTTGTTGTAAATGACTGATGTTTAAGATGGCCAAAATACGTCAGTTACTGGGATTTGCCATTTATTAACCACTTTTCTTTTAATTATCTAATCTTGAAAAAATCTATTTTTTGTTTTTTTGTTTTTGTTTCCTTGATCAACAGTATTCTAAGAATGTCTGTAACATTTAAATCAGGAAACCAGATATTGTTCTGTTCATGAATTATACACTTCTTGTATACAATATAATTAAGCTCAGAAAAGTAGCCCTATCATGTCTTTGGCCTGCGTTGCGGAATTAAAAACAAAAAATCTTTACATTTAACCAGCATTCCCAAAGGGAGAGCTGTAGGTTATAATTGTGACTAGGTCATATTAAATAGCTAAGCATTGCTCGCAACCAAGTAGCCCTGAAAAAGTCTTCTGCAGTGTTCAAATACTATCCCAGCCAGTGATGAAGTGAGCCAATCGGCGACCCGGTCACCGATGGCTTATTATGTAAGAGCTTTCCGCTTTAAATATTGTTGGGCCACTATTTCTGAATTATTATGTTTTGTTTTCCAGCTGACAACACTACGAGGGTGTATACTTGAAGATGCAATACCATCACGCTTCAGTAGTTCTCGGGGAATTCCAATCAAGGATGTCCTCGAAATTGCTGTGCCGGAGGTTCAGTTGTCGTGTCTACGACAAGCTGTTGCTGGGCAGAAGACATGCGAGCAGCTGCTTAAGCTTGATGAGCAAGGGGTGGGTCTGGTTTTGTGGACTGTCATATGCTGATGGCGGGTTTGTGTTCTTTGTGTGCTGTCATTGAGAAAGACCTGGATACAGGCGTCAGACATACAAACATCAAGTCTATTGTATCTGACCCTACAGAGATGGAGGAAACGGATCAGACAGTCCACAGTAACTGGTGACCCAGTGGCACGTTATGTTATGGGACTGTGCTGATAATGTTGTCTGCTGTATTGTCTAGTAATTTGTATATTCTGTTGCTCAGCTGTGTGTAAGCAGAGCTGTCAGGGCAGCATTCAGCGTGCTGGGAGAACACGCATACATACCTTCAGTTAGGTTGCAACTGACACAATAAGTATGGGAACTTTTTATTGGCTACATGGAAATGACAGATCACATGTGGGGAAGTCCCTAGTGCTTTGATGTCAGTTCTTTTTTGGTCCATTCATTTACATTCCAGGAAAATATACTTTACAAATACTCACATTAAAATTAATTATGTAATAGTAGAAACCAGATAGGAAAGTTGGAGGGGAAGAGATGCAGAGGGAGACCAAGGGAGAAAATACTGGACAGTTTAACATCATGGCGTGGAGGATCATCTGGCTTGGAGTTGATTGCAAGTACATGAGACATAAGTTTGCTATATACATGACTACCAGTGCCACACGACATGTACTTTAAGAAGAGGAAGATGAAGACAGATAAATAATAAAGACATACCACTCTAAACTAATTAAAATTATAAAGCCCATTCATCATCACATACCCTGCCAAATGGCGTAGGCGTTCATGCATCTCCACAGATCTCTGTCCCTTGTTCTCTGAATCAGTTCCGCTGATGATATCACTCCATGCCACCGTCGCAGTCCATCCGTCATCATCTCTCTTGGTCTGCCTCTCCCTCTTCTACTGTTGATCTTCCCAGTCTTTACAACATTCTGATTAGCCTAATCACATGACCAAAAAACAGTGTGTGTCTGTTCCTTATAACTGTATATATTGGACAGCTTTCATTAGCTTCCTTCAAGCAATCCTCTTTGGTTACTCTGGCAGTCCAACGGATTCTTAACATACGTCTGAAAAACCACATTTCTGTCGTCTCCAAGGTCTTTTTAATTTGTGCATTCACATTCCATGATTCACTACCATACAGCAATATAGGTTTTACATAACATTTTAGTACTCTCTTTCGGACATCCAGAGAGAGGGACCTGTTGCACAAAATGTTTTTCATTCTGTGAAATGCAGCCTTAGCCTGGCCTATTCTGCTCCTGATTTCTGACACTTCTTCCGTCTGATGTTTAATTGGACCCAGATATTTGAATTTATCGACTTGGATTACCTTTTTACCTTCTATTCTAATATCACACTGCAGTGGTATTCTTTTCTTTGATATAACCCTTACCTCCGTTTAAAAAAGGGTCAGTCGTTGAATATAAAGAAAACCATTACCTCCATTTTTTAAAATATATATTTAGTGACGGACACTTTTTTTTTTGTACTTTCCCTCACTACAGTGTCCAATAATTGTTGTAAATTTTAAAGCCCATTACAAAAATAAATATAGTTTGTACATATGAAAGCAGGAGAATAAACATCAAGAATTCATATATATATATATATATATATATATATATATATATATATATATATATATATATATATATATATATATATATATATATATATATATATATATATATATATATATATATAGCTCAGTGGATATAGGCAGACAGACAATTTCCTTATTGGTGGGCTGTATGTATAAACATGTATTTAATTGTTCTTTGAATATCATTCATTCACTTGTTTTACTTTACTTATACAGATTAGCAATACATACAAAGTTGGCATCATGTACTGTAGGTCTGCACAAGCCTCAGAAGAGGAGATGTATAATAATGGTGAGGTTTTCCCTATCATGACTTTAAAAAAAAAATTAATTAACCAGAATTCTTGATTAAATGCTTTTTTTTTTTTTAAAGTTTTTTTTTTAAATGTATTAATTAATTAAATTCTTGATGTAATATTTTCACTCTTGGGCTGGCCAAGAAAATTCCTGATCTTTCCTCTCGACAGTTCCGTTCTCTCTAATTTAAAATATATGGTCAGTCAAAGCTCAGACAGGTATGGTCAGTAATATGCAACCTGCCTTTACATCCAGAAACATTTTCTGTTGCGCTTTTTTAAACCAGCAGAACAAGGTAAACTCAGAGCACACCTTTATCAATGTCTCAAAGGTTCTCCCGGTTGCTGATTTGGAGCATCAAAACAAACTCCAGAGCCTGTCTTACAAAACTGCCTAGATGTTGCTAGAGAGAGAGAGGAAATCTTAACCCAGACATGACTCTTCAGGACAAACTGTGGAGGAACCAATGAACACCCCTAACTCACTGTCCTGTTTGTGACCCATGCTCGAATGGAAGCACAGCGAAAGTTAATCTCTGTAGAATAGTGGTTCTCAACCTTCCTAATGCTGCAGCCCTTTAATACAGTTTCTCATGTTGTGGTTACCCCAACCATAAAATTATCCTCTTTGCTACTTTATAACTTCGGTGAATATGTGTTTTTTGTTGGTCTTAAGCGACCCCTGGGAAAGCGTCGTTCGACCCCCAAAGGGGCCACGACCCACAGTTTGAAAACCACTGCTGTAGAATCAGGCTAGCTCGACCTGGGAGTCTGGGTCAGTTTAAAAGTTTCCCTGCCTACTCAACCTGCAGATTTGGATATATTTGTGCAGATTAAAATATTTACTGCAACATTATAACTTTACTGTATTCTGTGTTGTTATGACTTATTTCATAACCAGGTTTGCAGAGACATGCATTTTATTAACTATTCGTAGGTTGTGTATATTTAAGTTATTTTTAGGCCGTAGTATAAGATGACCTGTTCCCTTTTACTGTTTTTCCATAGAAAATTCTGGAAATTGTCTGTTACCATTTTATGAGGCCACATTGACGCTAGAGTCATGCGGGATGGGAAAGAATAATCTTGTCACTTGTGAGGTTTAACTCTTTTTTTTCTCTGGAAACACTATAAAATAGGTCAAAACCTTATTAGAATTTCAGATAACATTTGCAGAAAAAACAATTTTCACACAGGTCACTAATAAACTGTCTTTACCTACTTTTCTACCTGGAATATGTTAAGATATATGAAAGGAATCATCAGTAAACACTAACAGGGTGGGGCATTAAATAGAATACATACTCCAGGGCTTAAAATGAGCACACATATTGAGAGACTCATGGCATTACCCTTTGACCTCTATCACTGGGGATTACAAGGAAATCTGATGTCAACTTAAAAAATAAAAACAGGTTTAGCTTAATTAAAGAAAAAAGCAATTTAACTCAAAGGAAAATCCCCTAAATGCTTTTATTGGTTCATGTATTAGAATCCTAACCTTCTGAAGAGTTGCGCAGGTGGGAACTCAGCCATTAGCATTAACTGTGCTTCTCATAAATAGGTCACTATAAACATGTTGGAAAAGTGACATTTACTGGCAACTATGCCCACCCGAAAGTATCAGTTTTCAGCTTCTGGGGCAAAAAGATTAATACATAAACCATCTTTGAGCAAACACACTAACCACTGTGGCTGTAAATGTCAGTATGGCTGTGTGATGTCTACTTTTCCCCCTTTTTTAAGGAAATGTTTATTTGAACAGAAAATCATAAAAACAGAGATGAGATGTCTGAGGGGAGTTGCCAGAGTCACAAGAAAATATCTTTGTCCGAGGACATAGTTGTACTGCGCCTATTTACAGAGATATTTGTTGTCCAGGTTTGACAAAAAGAGGTGGAATTAAAATTTAAGAAATTAAAAGAAAGCAAGGAGGGAAACCAGTCATATCGTTTATTAAAAAGCAACAAATGAGATGGTTTGACCAATTTGTGAGAATGCCCTGATTCCAGCTGCCGCAGTGAGACACATCAAAGAAAAAATTAAAGACAGACCAAGGAGACTGCAGATTATGTAATGACAGCAACAAGAAGATTCTTAGAAAAATAAACATAAAAATATACAGTATATTAAAAAGAGGGCTTGAACGATCCTTACATCACCCCTAGACACTTGGCTGAGGTAACTGAAGGATAAGAAAAAAAAAAAGACATTGTTAACAACTTGTTATTTTTATTTAACCTTATATTGCTAATTTTTTCTCTCCAGAAAATGGGGGTCCTGCATTTGATGAGTTTCTCAGTCTGCTTAGCCAGAAGGTCCGGTTAAAAGGGTTTGAGAAATACAGGGCAGGATTGGACTGCAAGAGTAAGTGCCTTTTTTTTTTAATCATCTCCTTCATTATCATCACACTGCTTATCTTAGTCAGACTGGTATTTTAGTTGTCTAATCATTGAACCCCATTGTCCATTCAGGGTTTTTTTTTTAAACATTTCTCTTTAGATCTGTTAAATCTAAGCCTTCTTTTTCTGTTTGGTGTTCACCGGCTGTAAACGCCGGTGGAAAGTTCTTTTTGTTCGGCCACTTCCAGACTTTAGACCTCGTTTAGAACCCATGTGTTGTAGGCACATCCATTGTACAGATCTAACAGACTGTTGGTTCCTTGCCTCTCAGGCAGATGCACTCCCACTTCAAAAGGCGCTCCTAGTTAATTGACTCTTATGACATGCTTTTAGGTACGCAGTGGGTCTATTCTTGTCCCATCCCCCCCCCCCCCTCCCCCACCCCCACAGTGGCAGAACCCACATGGGGAAAGTCTAAGCCGTAACACAACATGTTAACTTCTCTTTTAAGGGCAAACACAGAAGAAATGTTTTCCGTGGCTGGCATGTTTCCCTGAAAGAAGTAAAAACCTAACCTGAAAATTAGCCCTAGCCCCAAAATAAAAACCCTAGTTGTGGTCATCAGTCAGACGGACGGATTTTGTTTGTCTCTTGAAACACACAAGTAACATATTGAATTATATAAGTGATGAATGTATACATAAATCCCCCCCCCCCCCCACCCCACCCCAAAGATTATTGACATTAATGCCTGAAAATGTGGATTTATGTATACTTGATTAAATTTAGATATTTATATACCTGAAAAAAAAAAAATTCCCCAAAATTAAGTCCTGAGGCATCTTTTAGAGGAAAAAATAAATGAGTGGCTTACTTGGAATGCTTTTGTTTATCTTATTTTAGTGGGATATTTTGTGTTAAAAACGCAGCTCAGAATACATGCAGTTGCTGTTGGACACAGGCATCTTTGTTTAAAAGTTAACACATCCTTTGATTTAAATGAGAACTGTGAATTGTCACCATTTTATTTTAATTTATCTAGTATGAATATAAGATATAAACCCCCCCCCCCTAACTCCAAGACATCTCAGTGAATTCAGGCTTATGGCAATAAATCTGCCAGCTCTTTGTTACTTACTTTGTGTAAGTCTGCTTCCTAAACAAATGAAAACTTTCATGATTGTTGTTCTGATTGTTTCAGCCGATACCACGGGTACTCATTCCTACTACACCACGTTCAACAACAATGAAGTTATGTTCCATGTGTCCACAATGCTACCGTACACAGCCAACAACAAGCAGCAGGTAAGTCCCATGTGCAGCTTATCAGAAGGTATACACTAGCAGAACATATAAGCTTGTGTTGTGTTCCTGTATCGGTTAAAGATATCAGTGCCCGGCTCTCTAGCCGAATTGGCTAAACCGGATTTCGCGGAGACCGGGTGACGTACTCCTTGTGGTCCGGGTTCAATCCCGGGGGTAGGCAGGAAAGCCACATTTTCTCCCAGATTTACGGTATTTACAATGGAATCAAGGCCGAAAGGTTGCGATATCCATAATACCGAGCCTAAGGGTTATCAACTCATGGCTTCTGGATACTAAAACAAACAAACAAACAAAGATATCAGTAGTCAGGTGTATAAGTTGTGCATCCTTTGCAGAATGTTGCCATCTAGCCAGTTCACCTCCACCCCCGCCCCCACCACACAGACACATACTACGCACATGCTTGCTTTTTGTGGGTTTTCATTCAAGGCAGTTTTACATTCAGTAGTTTGCCATTGCTTCTGTACTGTCGACACTCCCTGCCATTGTGAAAATAAATGCAAGGCTGCCTGCTGCCAAATCACCTGCCAGGTATTTTGGAATAACAAACTGTGTTTTAGTCAGGTATATGAGGTCTGTCTGAAAAAGAACAAGCCATAATTAATGAGAAAAAACTGTTTTGGATGAAATATAGTGTTTTCCTGTCATGTGAAGACAAGAGCCATGATGACATTGCTGTTTCAATCAGTGCGACCATTAAATGTCAATTAATGAGCTTGTGCACTATGTGGTTGTCACATTCAAATGCTCAGAACAGTCAGAGCAAAGAATTTGCATACAATTTTGCAAAAAGCTTTATAATATAATTCCTAAAAGAAGAGAAAGGGGCCTACCGACATTCTTTCAGACACCTCAGTGTCCCAGCATGGCTCATTGATTTTTGTGTGTGTTGCTCTATTCAGTCTGAAAATGCTGTTTCAACTAAAGAGCAGCAGGTGAGATCAAAATGGTGCACACTCCCACACCTACTCACACATGCACGTGTGCATGTGCACACACACACACACACTCACTCACTCACTCACTCACTCACTCACTCACTCACTCACTCACTCACTCACTCACTCACTCACTCACTCACTCACTCTCTCACTCACTCACTCACTCACTCTCTCACTCACTCACTCACTCACTCACTCTCTCTCTCACTCACTTTCTCACTCACTCTCATTCTCTCTCTCACTCGCTCTCTCTCTCACTCTATCTCTCTCACTGTCTGTCTCTTACTCACTCTCTCACTCACTTACTCACTCTCTCTCTCACTCACTCTCTCACTCTTTCAATCACTCTCACTCACTCACTTTCTCTCTCTCTGTCTCTCTCTCTCTCTCTCTTTCTCTTTCTGTTCAGTGAGGTAACTTGAGGAAGAGAAGAAGAAGACTTCTGTTTCAGTCATTTGTATTTTTCTTCATCACAACTTAGAGACTTTTTATGGACAGCCTTTATAATTTATTATTAAAGAGAGGATTTAAATTAACCATTTTGAAGAGAATATTCAGCAGCGCCCCTGATTATAATTTTCTGTCAATTTATTTCAGTTGTTACGGAAACGCCACATTGGAAATGATATTGTCACTATTGTATTTCAAGAGCCTGGTGCTCTCCCTTTCACACCACAAACCGTCAGGTCACAGTTTCAGCATGTCTTCATTATTGTCCGAGTCAGCAACCCCAACACAGACAGCACAAGATACAGGTAAGTCCATGTGCAGCTGCTTATCACAAGGTACACTAGCAAAACGTATAAGCTTATGTTGCGTCCCTGTATCGCTTTAAAGTATCATCGTGGTGTTGATTTTAGAGATAAGATGTGGGGTTTAGTCATATTCTGAGACCATGCCTATAATATGCAAGGACATCTTCTTCTTCGTCTTCTTCGCGTTCACCAGCTGTACACTCTGGCGGAAAGTTCTGGTTGATCGTCCACTACTGAACTGCTGTCCTGCTCCAGAACCTGAGTGTTGCATGTGCATCAGTTTTACCGATCTCATTCTCTTGAAAACAGACTGTTGGTTCCTTGCCTCTCCGGCAGATGCACTCTGACTTCAAAGGAAGCTCCCCAATTAGTCTACTCTTACGACATGCTTTTGTGGAGGCAGTGGATCTATTCTTGTTTTCCCCACAATGGGGCCCCGGAACCCACACAGGGGGCAAGGACATCTTCTAGGGAGGGTCCTACAGTATGACCGAACCCCACTTTTTAATCTCTAAAATGAAAAAAGCAGATTTTGAGAGAAGGAAGTCCACCCAATTACAATTAAATGTTTACAGTCAAAGAAGGTAAAGATAAGCGATAATGGAAGATCAAAAATCTAAAAAGATGATTTTAAGAGTGCACTGCACAAATGGAAACTTAGCTCATTCCAGATAACACAAGAGAAACCATTTATTTGCTGAATTATTATTCTACCTATTATTGGAGAAAAGATCAGGACTAAATTATGTTGAACCTATGGCGAGAGGGGAGAATTGGATAGTTAAAACAAACTGTTTTACTGCATTGGCGTGGTAGAAATTGTTCAAAATACCAAGTACAGAGACCTATGGAAAGACATGAACGCCAATGTTGCTGGGCAAGGCACATGTTGATGATGGTCTTTGTGGCGTGCGTAAGCTTCTTGTAACGAGTGTAAAAGTGACTAGGGGTGTCAGAAGTTAACAAGTGGCATCAACACTTAACATGCCACTGGCCAAGAGTAATGAATGCTGAAGCTTCCGTAGTAGAACAAGAACTCTCTTTAAAAGTTCCATTTGTGTATTGACAAATGCAATGCAATGATTAATTTCAAGAATACATATGCAAGTAATAATCAACTCGTTCAACCAAAGCTCGCTCGTACATCCATGTAATGATATGTCCTCACGATAGGTCGCAGTCCGACCTTGAGATCCAGACGATTTACTTTCTCCTCGGACAAGTCCGAATTAAGCAATGAAAGTATACCGGCGTACTGCCGAAAAGGTAACGTTTACCAGCTTCCTGCTGAGGTCTTGGAGTCCCGGGGTAAAACGTCCTCAAGGATCCAACTTTATATAACGTTTGCTTCCGTGGGATCCCGGGGTAAAGCGTCCTCAAGGATTCCCACGTCCGTCTCCTTCGGACTATAAACATCAACTGCTTTTGACAACAATAACATAACAACGTTACGTATTGTTTTGACGTCTTATTTGCTCACTCCGTACTGGTGCGTTCTGGTGCACATTCGCACGCGACAGCTTTTCCCCCCTCCCGAGGACGACCGAGCACTAGGACTTGTCGTAGTCTCGGTCGGAAAACTGGAGTCATGTCGCGGCAAACAGCACCAGTACGAGAGAGCAAATAAGAAAACTTGAATACACACACACTCACTCCTCAATATATCGTCAATACATTACTAAATGCATGCAAAATATAGATTCTTGACTTCACTAAGCATTATTATCAACAACATTATCGTTATCCAAATTATTTTCATAACAGCATGCATTTTAAATATCATGTAAATTCAACAAATAAACATCAATCCTATTCCAATGCCTCTGGGGTGCGCGACAAAAAATCGGCTAAGACATTTTCTTTCCCTGGGCGATAAATAACTGTGAAGTTGAACGTCTGTAGAAACATTGTCCATCTTAATATGCATGAGTTTTTGATGGGTGCTGAGTTCAAGACTTCGAGTGGACGATGGTCTGTCAAGATAAAGAAGTGACTGCCATACAGGAATTGGGTAAACTTCCCTACTGCCCAAAAAATGGCTAGTGCCTCCCTCTCGCCCACGCTGTAACGGCATTCAGTAGGAGACAGCTTCCTGCTGGCATAAACAACAGGGAGTAGGGTGCCCTCTCTGGATTGCAACAACGTCCCACCAATCGCCACATCGGACGCATCAATTGGGTGGCGTACAAACAACACACTGCAATGTTAGCGATGAAAAATCGCTAAAATAACGACCGGTACAACGGCAAGTAGCAGATCAATGTACAACCAAAAGGACGACTTGATCCGATTCAATCCCACAGAGAGTGGCACAGTCAGTAACGGTGACTTGATTATGATGAAGATCCAGCGAAGTATGATACGGAGATCCAACGAAGAGTGATCCGGTCCCGATGAAGATCCAACGAACGTAGAATGATACGGTCCCGATGAAGATCCAACGAAGAGTGGCACAGAGATCCAACGAAGAGTGATTGATAAAGTCCAGATAAAGATCCAACGATGGCTAGAACAGACCGGCGGCGGCGATTTGATACGTTGAACGATATCCACAGCTAGAGATATGTAAAGACTGACAACTGGAATGTGCTTCGTGTACAACTTGAGGCAAAACAATGCGACAAAATGTCGTATCACACTTGTGACGAGAGGTCCCTCATTCTTTAAAGGCTGGCCTCCATTGATACGTGCGGAAGCTTCTTGTAACGAGTGTAAAAGTGACTAGGGGTGTCAGAAGTTAACAAGTGGCATCAACACTCAACATGCCACTGGCCAAGAGTAATGAATGCTGAAGCTTCCGTAGTAGAACAAGAACTCTCTTTAAAAGTTCCATTTGTGTATTGACAAATGCAATGCAATGATTAATTTCAAGAATACATATGCAAGTAATAATCAACTCGTTCAACCAAAGCTCGCTCGTACATCCATGTAATGATATGTCCTCACGATAGGTCGCAGTCCAACCTTGAGATCCAGACGATTTACTTTCTCCTCGGACAAGTCCGAATTAAGCAATGAAAGTATACCGGCGTACTGCCGAAAATGTAACGTTTACCAGCTTCCTGCTGAGGTCTTGGAGTCCCGGGGTAAAACGTCCTCAAGGATCCAACTTTATATAACGTTTGCTTCCGTGGAATCCCGGGGTAAAGCGTCCTCAAGGATTCCCACGTCCGTCTCCTTCGGACTATAAACATCAACTGCTTTTGACAACAATAACATAACAACGTTATGTATTGTTTTGACGTCTTATTTGCTCACTCCGTACTGGTGCGTTCTGGTGCACATTCGCACGCGACAGTCTTTACTGCCTGTATTTACCACTGTTAGGGCGGTGTAATACAAGGAGGTTTTGAGCCTGAGAATGTAGGTTCACATGGCTAGTTTAGTCGCCACAGCCTGTGCAGGTGAGGCTGTTTTTTCTTGCACCGACAGAAAAAAGCTTCCATCACCTGCCTAGGAGAGCCTGGTGCTCTGTCCACTGCCTGTCAAGAGTACATTGCACAGATGAAAACTCAGCACACTCCAGGTGACACAAGAGAAACCATTTATTCACTGAATTCTTCTTCTACCCTTTATCTATTAGCGGAGGAAAGACCTCAACAAACTCATACCAAGCCCTTTGTAAATGTTGTTCAAATTCGGCTTTTGCAGCTAAACTTTTTTTCTTTCCTCTGCTCCTGGAATGCCTAGCAGCATCGGGGAGGAAGAGATCTCTAGAATGGACCCTTCTGTTCGCTTTGTATTTAGTACTTTTCAGTATCTCTGTTATTTCTGTGGTTTGGTCCATATTCTGCATGGTCAGCCTCTGGCTCTGTTACCGCTGTATCTGTATAACATTGCTCTCTGTGGTGTCCTGTCTGATGCCAGTCTTGTTACATGGCCAAACCAAAGTAAATTTTTCAGTGGGGTTAAATAGCCTGTCTCACACCAACCCTTGTTAAAACACACATAGTATCATCAGTCAATCAATCAGTCAGTCAGTCAGTCAGTCAGTCAGGTTCTGTCTCCACAGTGAAGCTTGTCTACAGTGTTCATCTCCAACACACTCTGTCTTTCATCCTAGTTGTACACTCAGCAGCTGTTCACGTCTGTTTCTTGATGTTGTTTTACTACTTGTATCTGTGTCTCCCTCTAGCTGTCTTGCCTTCAACTTTTGTGGTACCTCACTGTGTTACAGAGTACTATTCTTTTCTTCTTTTATTTACCCACCTAACACATAGGCGATTCCTTGATATATCCCTCACTTATTCATTGAATGTTTCCTCGATTTCTTAGTTTTTTTTATTTGTTGACTCCATAAATGTTATGTTTTTATTTTTCTTGTTCAGCATTGCTTTAACAATTATTTGTTGAAACTATATAAATTTTATGTTTTTATTTTTCTTATTTAGTATTGCTATAGCCATTAATTGTTGAGACTATAAATGTTATGTTTTTTCATCATTAGCTTTGCTTTAGCCATTAATTGTTGAAACTCTACAAATGTTATGTTTTTATTTTTCTCATTTAGTATTGCTATAGCCATTAATTGTTAAGACTATAAATGTTGTTTTTATTTTTTTTTCCCTTTAGCAGTGCAATAGCCATTAATTTTTGAGACTATAAATGTTATGTTTTTTCATTATTAGCATTGTTGAAACTCTATAAATGTTATTTTTCTCGTTTAGCATTGCTATAGCCAGATCAAAAGATGTGCCTCCCTTTGGACCGCCCATCCCAGAGAACTGTAGCTTTAAGAAGTCACAAGAATTTGTGGACTTTTTATTAGCCAAAAGTTAGTAATCTTATTGTCTTCGGTATTTAGATTCTTATGGTCAGTTAATGACAATTATGAAATGCCATACAAGACAAATATTGCAGAGATATTTACAACAACAAGCAGGATTCAGTATCCGCACCCAGGTTGGTGGATTTGGGAGTGCAGCCTTTAACAGCAGGACATGAACATTTCACAAATGTCTAATTAATCAGTACAGAATGAGTGGGTTCAGTTGGTTTTTATTTTTGTTTAGCTCTTGTTGAGGGGATTGGAGCACCTAGAAATCTGTCCAGAATGCTCTGATGATAGTTTTGACTAATCACTTTTAAATGAAGTCTCAGAGTCAACTACAAGTGGAGAAACAATTTTTTAACATATTTAATGAGCTTTAAAACTCGGATAAGCTATACATACTTCAGCAAATGCAGAAATAGAGCTTTAAAACATACACCTTTTTAAACCCCGTTTGCACAGCTGTTTTCTACTATGGATAATTGTGAATTATGTACGGAAACTCAAAATGGTCACATTTTACGATTACTGCTTGGTCCCTCCCCTTAATTAACTTGCAGTTTTCTAAAGGCATTTTTAAAAAAATGAAACTTGTGTATTGACGAGTAATTTATTAGTCACTTTCTTCTTATCTTTAATTATCAGGTGCCCTCTTCATTGTGAAGGCTGGCTGTAATACATCTCTAACACTTTCTGTCTATTACTCTGTTTGAATGCTCTTAAGACTGCGGCCCATCGATCTTTTGACTTACCCTCCCACTTATATTGTTTTGTTAACGTTAACAGTATTCTGTGAACAGAATGGAGGAAACTGAGTGGTGTGACAGAATCACTGAGGCAGAGCTTTGTAAAAGAATTTGATGTATACTGTTGGATTAGAGAGAAAACTTTGACACTGAGCCATGCCTGCATTGAGTAAACTTTATAATATAATTATGGCTAAGGTGTCTTTATGCTGCACCCCATTGGACCATTGGAATAGAGGCGGTGGAAACACATGAACATGAAGAGTCAAAGATGGTGGTGATTGGAATAGGAAGGGATTGCAGTGAGGGCCTCACAAGATGGCAGGGATTCGGAAAATGTGGCACAATTTGAAGACCTATGCTCCATTGGAGAAGAATCCCATAAGCATAGAGAAGAGTCAACACGGACTGACTGGGCTGGTGGATAACAATGAACATCCGATGCTAACACTATTACATGACTGGTGGAGGGAAACCTGGTGAAGGGCGTTGGTGCCATCTTTGAGGTCAATATAGTAGTCACTGTAACCAACTTCTCATGGAAAATACCATTGGTAGACACCTGTGTTCGATCCCAGCTGCGGATATTTGTCTTTTCAATGGTTTCAACAGTGGGACCAAGAGCTGACCATTGAGATTGCAGTGGCAAACTACTGAATGTAAAATTTGCCTAGAAAAACCACAACAGCCAAAAAACACTGGGGTTAGTTCTGTAATGTCCTGTAAATGATACACAACCAACTTTTTATTTTCTCTACCCTGGGGGTTGGCTGCTGCTTTAAAAGACTGAGCACACATGGGAATGCCCAGAGTGCAGTGATGCTGACTGTGATAACAAACCTGTCAACAAAATCGTTGTTTAGCAAACTTGAAATTGATGCATATACTTGACTTCTTTGTTTCTCTTTTGCAGTAATAAATGCAGAGAATGCTGCACACAAATCAGACAAATTTCTGACGATGGCTACAAGAACAAGACAAGAGTACTTAAAGGATCTAGCGACAAATTATGTCACGAATACACCAATTGATACTGGATCTAAACTCAGTAAGATACTCCTAGTTGGCATTCTCAGATTGCTATCAGTTGTGCAGTTTTTTGTTGTTCCAAGTCTGGCAGACTTGTTGATTATACTAGATTTTGTTTGTTGTGTTGATCAATCATGTTATTGTCTCCACCTCCTTCAGTGGCATTCACCCTTAAAAGGGCAGTTGGCACGTTGTTGTAAATCACACGGGAAGTTCTTGTTTCTAGTTTCACTCATCAAAGTTCTCAGTCTGTGGTTTAATCACATGCTCCTAGATATAATCAGTTTTTAAAGGGGTAGAAAATTATAGGGAAGAGAAAAAGTTGGTAAGAAAGAACAAATAGTTTATGTTAGCTTTACAAAATCAATCACAATAAACAAACAAAGGACGTTGCGGCGATTAGCCTTCATCAGCACATAAAGGACAACACAGTACACATACACAAATATGCTCTAACTATGAAGTGACTACATAGGACCCCAATCTACAAAATAAATGATACTCATCTGTGTCACTGGCGAAGAAAACTTTGTTGTAGATATAATCAGTCATATACATGTATTGTTGTTTCTAGTATATGATTGATCAACACAAGTTATTGTTCTCAGTTCTCAACATGAGAACAGCCCCCACGAGCGTGAACAAACATGCAAGTTGATCCAAGTTTTTGCCTAATCATCGGAAATCGCTTAATATTGTACTTTTATATAGCAGTACATTTTTTTATTAAAGACTGTTTAGTTAACAGTAAATGTCACCAACTTTGAATATCTAGGCTCAATAATGAATTTGCTGTCAATTAAAGGTTGGAGTGTCTGGCTATTTGCTTCAAACCAGTCCTTACTTCTATTTTCTCTAATCACAAACTTTGAATGTCTAGGCTCTATAATAAATAGCAATGGAGACTGTTTGACAGAAATCAAAAGAAGGATGGCCATAGCAATGCAAAGATTCAACAGCATTAAAAGTCTATGGTTAAGCACCAGCAAAGAAATAAAAATTAAAATTTTTAGAGCATCCATCTTCCCTGTAGCAACATTCGGATGTGAGTCATGGACTATCTCCCAGTCCTTATAAAATAGGGGCTTTTGAGCTGAAATGCTATAGAAAAATTATCAGATTACCATGGGCAAAGAAGAGAAGAAATACTGACATTTTTAAAAGAATTGAAAATCAAGGAAAATTGGCTAATCTTAGAAGCTGAGATATTTTGGTCATATCGAGCGCCATGGTGGATTGGAAAAAATAATAGGCCAACCAACGCACAGATGGGCACAGGATAAAAGTGACTCCCTGAATATGAAATGAAAGTACACGAGGCGGGAGAGCTGGTGAGAGATCGAGTTTCTTTCAAGCAGACTGTGATGCGTTTGACGTTCTGCAAAGGACCTGCTACATGATGATGGTTAACAGTAAATGCTAAAAAAACATTTAGTTTTTATTAGTTGTTCATTATTTCAATTTTTTTGCCTATATGTGTTTTTTTTAATTTATTGTTTCATTTTTTTAAATTCCTTATTTGACATTTAAAATTAATTTCCTTTCTTATAAGTTCAATTGTTTTTTTGTGTTAGTGTATGTGTTTATAATTAATGTTATTCATTTTCTCTCCGTTTCTTGATGTTGTAAAAATTGTCTTTTCCTGTTTTTCTTACTATTTAATTACAAATATTTTTCCCTGTTTCTTTGGTGCATCTTTTGCTTGCTTTTGAACTAATTTCTTGTCTGTTCCCAGTTTTCATGTTATTTAACTTCCTTTCTTGGCCCTTTTGGGAGCTACAATAACATTCTGGCTAGAGGCTCCTCTTCTGGCATGAAGGTCTAGGATTCAGATCCGCAGGGGCATTTCCTTTTCTTTTCAGAATTGACCTTGGCTCTCAGGTGGACCCAGCCTAAAATGTGTACACGGAAATGTTCTGGGAAGTAAACGGGGCTGGCGTGATGTTGACCACATCACCCCTTGGGTGCTAGCTGGTATATAAAAATGTAGGTCTAAAACACGGAAGGCATGACAAGGGTTCTTTATTGTCACCTTAATTGGCCAACCTGCCAATCTACTGTTCTTGACCTCAATCATAACCTGCTGTCATCATAACCTAGAAACCCTGCTTTAAAAAAAAAAGTAATCATTTTTCTTCAGGCAAGTTTGGACTGGGCAGTGGCCGAAAGAAAGAGAAGCCAAAACAGAAAGTGGTGCCAGATATGTATGCCAAGGGAGCTTTGGTTTGGGAGGTGCAAGTGGAAGACATGGGCACTGCTTCACAGGTATGATTCTGGCATACTCGTGTTTTACGTGATTCTCCGTGGTTTCTTGTGGAGGGATCTTTGGTTTGGGAAGTGCAATGGAGGGCATGAGCACTGATTCTGGCATACTTATGTTTTACGTGATTCTCTGTGGTTTCTTGTGGGGGGATCTTTGGTTTGGGAAGTGCAATGGAGGGCATGAGCACTGATTCTGGCATACTCATGTTTTACGTGATTCTCCGTGGTTTCTTGTGGAGGGATCTTTGGTTTGGGAAGTGCAATGGAGGGCATGAGCACTGATTCTGGCATACTCATGTTTTACGTGATTCTCCGTGGTTTCTTGTGGGGGGATCTTTGGTTTGGGAAGTGCAATGGAGGGCATGAGCACTGATTCTGGCATACTCATGTTTTGTGTCTGGTCTGGTAGTCTGGTAGTCTTAGTTTCAGCTTCATAGCAAACGGGTCACCCCATCTTTGCTCCGCTCCTGTGCCAACGAAAAACACACACAATGTTTATCACAGTATTAGAATTGTAGTTCATCATTGATGGTAGCAGAAGTTGCCAACAGATCAGCAGTTGCCCAGGCGATCAATTTTAATCATATACGGGCACCACAACACTGCACGACAGGCATCGCTTCATTTTCTGAATCTACAATTCACACCAACACGTTGGTCACAGTCAAAAAAACATTCCAAATGCAATCCGCAGCTCACAGGGTCACGCCATGCATTCAACTCAGAAGCTAGGCGACGAAACTATATCCAGTCTACAAATGGAGCAAAAATGCATCGGCCACCGCTCGGCAGAAGCAAAAAATTTGCCTCTGTTTTGAACAGTGCCGCTGCCTAACGTCCATTTTGACCGTTATTCTCCATGGTTTCAGGTGGAGGGAGAGTTGCCCTGGTGTAGCAGCTAGGTGCAGGCCTGCAGATCATAAGGTCGTGGGTTCAGGTCCTGACTTTAAAAAAAAAATGACTTTGGCTCCCAGGTCGACCCAACCTTAGATGGGTAGCAGGTAAAGTTCTGGGAAGTAAAGGTGGCCAGATAGATACTGACGAAATCAGTCACTAAGTGTTGATTGGTCAATAAAATACAGGTCTAGACATTAATGCCCAGACACCTGAAGGTGTGGAAAAGGGTTCTTTACTTTATTGTGGTAAAGTTCTGGGAAGTAAAGGTGGCCAGCGGGATGCTGACAAAATCAGTCACTAAGTGTTGATTGGTCTATAAAATACAGGTCTAGACATTAATGCCCAGACACCTTTATTGTGGAGTGGGAAAATTGATAAAGTATAACAAGCTGTTTTGTTTTTCTTTGTTCTTTTTATTGTATTCTAGAATGTAAAGAAGGGTAACACATTTAGGTTGTTGGCATAAGTATTAAATCTTCATTTTCTCTGTGTGGTTTCTTGGGAAAACAAGAATAGATCCACTGCCTCTCCAACAAGCATGTCATAGGAGTCAGCTAATTGGTGTGGCATCCTTTGAAATCTGAGTGTCTCTGCCTGGCCAGGGACCAAGAGTCTGCATACAAATAAGCCAGATGTGTGACACAGATATGCACGCAACACTCAGGTTCTGGAACAAGACTAATGTCTGGAGGTGGATGAACACCCATAACTTTCCCCTGCAGTTTACAGGTGGTGAACAGAGAAGAAGACACCTGCATTTAATACCTGAAAATATGACTGGGTCTTATAATATATTTTTTTTCTCCAAAGGGCACATTAGGGCTTATTTCAAGGGATCATTTATAGTATTCTTTTTAATTTTGAAGCTTATTTTCAGTAGATCATTTATATTATTTCTTTTTTAAAGCAATAAAGTCAGTATTATTTTTTTCTTCTTTTGTTAGGTTGAAATAGATTATCTATATCTGCAATGTTGTCTCTAGTATGAACTTCAGTGTCTGTTATTATTCAGTCAGTGACCCCTAAAGTTATTTATTTATACATATATGACTTTATTATTCAGAAAGTCAGCCTTTTGTTTTCAACATAGGAATAAATCCAGCCATTGACTGATGATCTTAAGTCAAGCTTATATTTGGGGGTAAGGCTTATATTACAGGCGTACTGAAAAGAAAATCATGCTAGGACTTATTTGGGGTTATATTTTATTTTATACATGGTAGTTTATGGGCAAGTGTTACGTTTTTCTTTACTGTCTGGGTTTGCCACTTTTTGGTCTGTGTAGGTAAACGTTACCTGTACTTTTTTGTGATACTATGTTTGTTATTTTCTTTTTTCTGCGTCAGGTTGAGTGTCTTTTAGCAATAGCTGCAGATACAATTGTACTCGTGGAAAAAACAAACAAGGATGTGATCTTTACTATACCCTGCAGCACGGTTATAGGATGGACACCTCAACCAAGCAGGTAAGGTACTCATTTTCCCTGTGTGGGTTCTGGGGCCCCATGGTGGGGAAAACAAGAATATACCCACTGCCTACCCAAAAGCATGTTGTAAGAGTCGACTAATTGGGAGTTTCCTTTGAAGTCGCAGTGTATCTGTTTGAGAGCAAGGGACCAAGAGTCTGCATAAAAATTAATCACTTTTGTAAAACTGATGTGCATGCAACACTCATGTTCTGGAACAAGACTAAGGTCCTGAAGTGGATGAAAAACCAGAACTTTCTGCCAGAGTATAAAACTAACGAACGCGAAGAAGATTTACACTTATGCGCATGTTGTGCAGTATTCCTTTTGCCTCTCTTTCAGTATTTTCTTACTCTGTAAACCTTTGTGCGTAACAGTCTTGTCAGTTGTCACAGCCTTCTACAGAAGGAGATGGAGATAGCTTGGTTATGTTCGCAGAATGCTCTTGACACCTTGGCAAGCTCTTCTGTGGATGGCAGTTGCAAAAAGGAGATGTAAACGACCAGCGGAAACCTAAAAAAAGACTGTAGAGATAACCATAAAGGGATGTAAAATGACACGGGATACCCTGGGCTGTTAGTAGGTGCTTTTCTAGAAACAGAACCCACAAAATCCTCATGTTCAACCTGCATCCCTGAAGAGGGAGCTTTAGGTTATAATTGTGACTAGGTTATGTGCGCCATGTAAAATGGTTTAGCATTGCGCGCCACCAAAAGCCCTAAAAAGGACTCCTGCAGTGTTTTTGCGATCATCTGAGACAGACCTGAATACTGTCTTGACCGTCGACGAAGTCATCTACCGGCGAGCCAGATGGGTGACCCAGTCACCGATGTGATCACCTGGGCAGAAAAGTAACAGACTGGCATCAGTAGAGATCACTTGTGAATGCCTTGTGAGTGGTCAGTGACATGAAGAGGGTATATAGTTAGAACCTTCTGCAACACAGTTCCAGTGTAATTTAACTGTGGTGTCTCGTACTGCTGCGCTCACAATATGCGGTTCTCTTTGGTGGTAAAGTGTTCAAACCATTTACCTGCCGCTGTGATGGTCGGGAGCTCATCACACAGCTTCATCGTTGGGTTCATGGGTGCACTTTTTACATAGACCCCTGGAGATCATTGCCAGATTTACAGTGTTTGTGCTTTGTGCAACGCTGTCACTAGGCGGAAAGCTGTTCTTCAGAGAGAGACCAAGTCATATGGAATGAAACTCGGTGCAGTGATATTGATCCTGTTGATTTTAACCCTGGAAAGCCCAGACCATGTTCCAGGTGGAGAAAGAATTCCATATTCGAAAGGGACGTAAATGGCATTTATTTGTTCAAAAATATTGGAGTTACTGTTCTTATGTTCCTCACATGTCACACTGAAGCATTATGGAAAGAATTTGCTGTTAATAAATTATGCTTGTCTTTGAAACGAGTTTTTGGGTTGGGTCACCCATAACCCAGTGGGTTCTTTCGGGTTGACCTAACCTTTAACCTTTCTCTAGTCAGTTTTCAGAATTTACTTAAATTTGGGGGGAAGGAAAAAAGGGAACTGGTCAAACCATCGCATAAGCTGTGGCTTAAAGTATACTGTCTAACATTTACATGTCAGTAGTAATTTTTGCTTTCATACTACCTTAACTATAGCAAAAAAAAATTAAGGATTCACTTTACCTTTATAGCTGAATTCTCCATCGAATAAATTCTTTCACTGTTTAAAAATCTGATTTACAAGAGGAGATGTCTACCAGGCTAAATTAGATGACTGGAGATTGAAATATACATGTATTAAATTAAATAACAAAAGTGTGACATGACTTGAAGGTGTGGCACATGCCTCAACTTTGAAAAGTGTTGTGTTCGAATTCAGTTATTTCCCAGTGTGGGTTCCAAGGCCTCATCATGGGAGGAAACAGAATACACCCCCTGCACCCGTACAAGGATATTGTAAAAGTCGATTAACCAGAGGTGTTTCCTTTTAATTTAGAGTGCATCTGCATGAGAGGCAAAGAGCCAGCAGTCTGCTAACATAAAAACCAGATCTGTAAAACGGATATGCACACAAAAACTCAAGTTCTGGAACCAGACTAAAGTCCAGAAATCGACGAACAAGCTATCCGCTGGAGTTCACAGTTGGTGAACACAATGAAGAAATATTCTGTTGTCAATAATTCAAACACCATAAGGTACATGTGGAGATAACTACCCTCTGCTTTTGATCCTGGTATAGCAAAACAGGTGCCTATCCTTCTCAGAAGAGGGTGAAGCAAGAGTTAGGCATTATTTGGTTGCCTTTATTTTCCTAGGTAAATCTCCTTTGCCTAGTTGGTGAGATTATAGGAGATTGCAAGATGTGGAGAAATATGGTCACCAATGCCACTCAGCAAGGAACTTGATGATTGTTGTATATGAATAGTCTCCTCTCTCTCTCTCTCTCTCTCTCTCTCTCTCTCTCTCTCTCTCTCTCTCTCTCTCTCTCTCTCTCTCTCTCTCTCTCTCTCTCTCTCTCTCTCTCTCTCTCTCTCTCTCTCTCTCTCTCTCTCTCTCTCTCTCTCACTCACTCACACACACACACACACACACACACACAGGCACGCACATTAGAGAAAGAGGTTTTATATGATTACATATATAAAATTATTATTATTATTACACTGCCATTACTGTCAGTAATTGCCAGTTTGGCAGTGTAGGCAAGGCGACTTTAAGTTAGGATTTTAAAGTGCAATATGTGTGTGTGAATTGTGTATATTGTATTGTTTATACTGTACTAAAGTTGTGTATAACTAAATTTTTCATATTGCTGTCATGTTTTCATACACCCAGTCTGCGTCTTTACTTTGGGGCTGGTGAATGTCTGCTGCTTCGACCACTGTCCGCAGAAGTTGAGGAAATGCATGAAATCTTCACCAGATTGCTAGCAGTTACAAACGGGACTGAGGTGTGTTCAACCACTTTAACTGTTTTCTTGAGTTAACAAAAATGTATTAACTAACTCAAAATAGTTCCATGACACTGTTTATGGTTCAGCCACCAGTTATCACATAACATAACCCTTGACCCGTTAGGGTCGTGGAGGTGTGCTGATGGAAGCACTAGCACATAAAACCCACCATCTGTCTCTGTCTTCTGCTTGATGAAAAAGTGTGTGGTAACTTAGTCGTGTCCATTTCCTGATGTTGTCATTCCAGTTCTTTTTTGCCCCCACCCCAGCCATTTTTCTTCGACTGCCCCCCCCCCCCCATGTTCCTTGGAGCACAGTCTTTGCAATCAAATCATGTCTCACTACGTGCCTAAACAAAGCTAGCTTGTGACATTTTACCACTGCGAAGAGAGGCTCCTTATGTCCTGGAAATTTGTATATTTTGTCTCTAAAATATTTATTAAGGTTTTGGAGAGGGGGGGGGGGGGGTTCTAAATAACTAATCCATAAAATGCGCCTTTAGCATTTACATTCGAAAGCCTAATTCTTCCTTTCCATTTCCACAGTAAGAGTCCAACTCTCACTCCCGTATAAGAAAATAGACAATACCATTATCATCATCATGTGCCCTGCCAACTGGCATAGGCGCTCAAGCAGCTCCACAGATCACGATCTCTGGTTGCCTGGAACAGCTCTCTTGATGATATCCCTCTATGCCATCGTTTTAGCCCATCCAGCATCATCTCTCTTGGTCTGCCTCTACCCCTTTTTCCACTGATCTTTCCAGTTGTCACGATGTTCTCCTATGTCTCTCTTCTCATTACGTGGCCAAAGAACAGTGTTTGTCTCTTTCTTATTGTTGCATATAGAGATCTACTTTCATTAGCCTCTTTTTAACAATTGTTGTTAGTTACTCTGGCCGTCCAAGGTATTCGTAACATTCGCCTTAGAAACCACTTCTCTGTTGCTTCCAAATTCTTCTTAATTTGTTTACTTAATTCCAAGATGTGCTGCCATACAGTAGAACAGGTTCTATGTAACATTTTAGCACTCTCTTTTTGACTTTAAATGAGAGCGATTTATTGCATAAGATATTTTTATTTTCTGAAATGCAGCTTTCGCTTGACCTATTCTGCTTTTAATCTCTGTCACGCATTTTCCATCTGATGATATGATTGTTCCGAGAAATTTGAATATATTTACTTGGTTAAGTCTTTTTTCCTTCAGTTGAGATATCACAATGTGGAGTTATCTTCTTCTTCGATATAACCATTACTTTCGTTTTCTCAATATTTAATTAAAGTTCTTTCTTAGCACTCTCCATCCCCACAATATCTAGCACTTGTTTTAAATCAGTTGCATTTTCGGCTATCAGAACTGTATCGTTTGCATACTGCTAATTGACAGTACCAGTGATTTGTAAATATTGACCTTGACTGTGATGCTGTTTTCGTTCTTCCACATCGTATTCAGCTGAGACATCGTGACTGTTGCCATATCAAGTCTTGTCTTGATCTCTTTGGTACAACTGCCATCATTACATATGTGGGGGCCAAGATATTTAAAGGTTTCAACTTCTTCTGTTTTTTTTTTCCTTTTACCAGTTATTATTTACTCTCTGATCAGCTTGAGGACTTTGCTCAAGGATTGGCATAGTTTGGGATAATGGTATAGGAACATTGGTTGGTATAGTTTAAGAAGATCGTATGGAAGCATTGGTTGGTATTGTTTGGGAAGATGCTATGAGAGCATTGCTTGGTGTAGTTTAGAAAGATGCTACGAGAGAAATGTTTGGTATAGTGAAGAGATGCTTTGAGAGCTGTGGTTGGTATATTGGAAAGATGCTACGAGAGAAATGTTTGGTATAGTGAAGAGATGCTTTGAGAGCTGTGGTTGGTATATTGGAAAGATGCTACGAGAGAAATGTTTGGTATAGTGAAGAGATGCTTTGAGAGCTGTGGTTGGTATATTGGAAAGATGCTACGAGAGAAATGTTTGGTATAGTGAAGAGATGCTTTGAGAGCTGTGGTTGGTATATTGGAAAGATGCTACGAGAGAAATGTTTGGTATAGTGAAGAGATGCTTTTGAGAGCTGTGGTTTGGTATATTGGAAAGATGCTACGAGAGAAATGTTTGGTATAGTGAAGAGATGCTTTGAGAGCTGTGGTTGGTATATTGGAAAGATGCTACGAGAGAAATGTTTGGTATAGTGAAGAGATGCTTTGAGAGCTGTGGTTGGTATATTGGAAAGATGCTACGAGAGAAATGTTTGGTATAGTGAAGAGATGCTTTGAGAGCTGTGGTTGGTATATTGGAAAGATGCTACGAGAGAAATGTTTGGTATAGTGAAGAGATGCTTTGAGATCTGTGATTGGTATATTGGAAAGATGCTACGAGAGAAATGTTTGGTGTAGTGAAGAGATGCTTTGAGAGCTGTGGTTGGTATATTGGAAAGATGCTATGATGGCATTGGTTGGTATAGAAAGGTATGGAAATAGGTGCTTACGGTGTAACTAAAAAAAGGCAAAATGGAAAATTGTTTCGAAAACTGGAAAGGAAATTGTTCTGAAAACTGAAAAGGAAGCAATTGTGTTTGATCTGAAAATGGAGAAAAAAAATGTATGTGTAATAGAGGAATTTGCATGCACAGAATGGAAGGATCTGAGTACAGAGAATAGAAGGTACTGGGTGCCCAGAATAGAAAGATTTGGGTGCACAAAATGGAAGGATCTGTAAGCACTGAATGGAAGGATCTGTGAGGAGAAAATGGAAGGATCTATGTATATTGAAATTAAATGGAGAATTCTGTGTACACAGGACACTTTAGGACTTTTGTCATTGCAGTAAGTATGAATGGTCATGTTTGCCCTCGATCACCAGAGTACTGGATCAGAGGGATGCTCTGGTTAAAGGTTAAGGTCAAGAGGATTGACGTCACTGCACCAGATTTTATCTCATGTGGCACACAATCTCTCACAGAACGGCTAGACGCCGATCACTGAGAGCATCACACAAAGCATTAACACCGTAGCTCTGGCGATGATCCCCAGAGGTTTCTATAAAATTACACTTTTCGAACATCGCATCGGTAAAAAGAAACCATGACCTACTTAAGTGCGGGCCAAATGTCTTGACTACAGTGGCCAAGTAATCCAGGTAGATATCTCCGTCTTCCCATAGATCTTCCCCCCATCAAGTTTGTCAGTAGTGAGTTTTCAGGTTCGTTTCTTGTTATTTATTATTCAAGAATTTAGATAACAGAATTGTCTGCTGTTAAGAAAATTACAGTTTATTTGTGTAAAATTTTTTGTTCAGACATCAAAAATGGCACTCAAGCGTAATGGAATGGGTCAGCTGGGCTTCCATATCCAGTCAGAAGGCATTGTCACAGACGTAGAACCTTATGGGTTCGCCTGGGAGGCGGGGCTGAGAAAAGGCAGCCGGCTCGTAGAAATCTGCAAAGTTGCTACCACTACTTTGTCACATGATCAAATTGTGGATCTGCTGAGAACGTCTGCCATTGTGAAAGTTGTCGTCGTCCCTCCGATGGAAGATGGATCACCAAGGTAGGCTTCATGTGTGCCTGTATTCTGCTTCTACCAATATTTAATCTTCCTTCTTTTGCTCTTTACAGACGAGGTGTCGTGAAAATTGGTAGTTGTTTAATTTTCATTACTGCAATATTGTTCATATTTTCTGAAGTCTTGATTTACTCTACGCAGATCCTGTTGTTATGGCAGTAATTTTTGTCAGCTTTTATTCTGTCTTTGTTATCTTTTTTATTAATCCCCATCCCCACTCCTTACTCCTCCCACCCTTGCGATTTAACATTCCCTCTTTGCCAGCAGTATTTTATAGAGCTGTATCAAATATATGCATTGTTGTTTGCGTTCACCGGCTCTAAACCCCAGTGGGAAAACCCAGTTGTTTGTCTATTTCTGGACTTTGACTTTGTTCCAGGACCCGAGTTCTGTGCGTATATCCGTTTTTCAGATATTGCTTATTTGTATGCAGACTGTTTGTTCCTTGCCTCTCAGGCTGATGCATTCCGACTTTGAAGGAAGTCCCCTAATTTGTAGACTCTTACGATATGCCTGTTGGGAAGACAGAGGGCCTATTCTTGTTTCCCCCACATTAAGACCCTGGAACCCACATGCAAAGTATATTTATTATATGCTTACTTGCAAACAGACATCTCCATATATTCTGTGAGTTTTATTGTTCATACAGTTTTCACTGATATACATAGGGGTGCAAAGAAATGAACATTTCACCTAGGGAACAAGACTTTTGATTAGTAAACACAGAACAGGCGTCTTTAGTTGTTTTACACTTGTGGAGCTTGTGAGGAGGAGATCAGAGTGCCTGCGGATCTGTTTGGAGTGCCTTGATAAAATTCTCAGTAACCCCTAAACACTTCCCTTAGCTAAACTCGAGGGTAACAGGAGAAAGAGAAGAAGAACCTTTGATGAGCCTTTTTCAACCTCAGAGAAACACTCTGGATGAGAAATCAATTCTCTCATTAATTGAGATTGAATCTGAACCATTGTCAGGGCAGACAACACATGAATCTGAACCATTGTCAGGGCAGGTAACACATGAATCTGAACCATTGTCAGGGCAGACAACACATGAATCTGAACCATTGTCAGGGCAGACAACACATGAATCTGAACCATTGTCAGGGCAGACAACAAATGAATCTGAACTATTGTCAGGGCAGGTAACACATGAATCTGAACCATTGTCAGGGCAGACAACACATGAATCTGAACCATTGTCAGGGCAGACAACACATGAATCTGAACCATTGTCAGGGCAGACAACAAATGAATCTGAACCATTGTCAGGGCAGGTAACACATCAATCTGAACCATTGTCAGGGCAGACAACACATGAATCTGAACCATTGTCGGGGCAGACAACAAATGAATCTGAACCATTGTCAGGGCAGACAACACATGAATCTGAACAATTGTCAGGGCAGGCAACAAATGAATCTGAACCATTGTCAGGGCAGACAACAAATGAATCTGAACCATTGTCAGGGCAGGCAACACATGAATCTGAACCATTGTCAGGGCAGACAACAAATGAATCTGAACCATTGTCAGGGCAGGTAACACATAAATCTGAACCATTGTCAGGGCAGACAACAAATTAATCTGAACCATTGTCAGGGCAGACAACAAATGAATCTAAACCATTGTCAGGGCAGACAACACATGAATCTGAACCATTGTCAGGGCAGACAACCCATGAATCTGAACCATTGTCAGGGCAGACAACACATGGATCTGAACCATTGTCAGGGCAGACAACACATTAAATACTGTACCAGTGCAGCCTGCCTTTGTAAAGTGTAATAAGTGATGATATTACTGCGGTGAATATACAGAACAGAATAAAACATTATTTTCATTTTGCATTTCATAGGTGTAAAACACATTTATTTTCTTTCATGCGTTGTTTTCTTCAGCAGACTTTGCTGTATTATTCATGGGGTGCTGTAAATGTTTAACTTGCTATTTTTGTTCTGCTATTGTTTTGATAATGAAATAGGCAGATCCTACTTTTGTGTGTGTCCTTTGTAAGTCTTTAATTTGATATACATGGTCATTTGTTTATTGAGCTGAATATTTTTGTGTGTATGTTAGTTTGTGAGTGTTAGTTTATTAAATCATCAGATTTGGTTTGCCATTTTGTGTTATTGTTTTTCAGATCAGTATGCCTGTTTGGCATGTATTTATACCTTAGGGATTTGGATATGAATTGAAATTTTATGTTGTTTTTGAAAAAATGCAGTGCCTACCCAAAACTTAGGGATCTACTCAGAGTAATTTCTAATTTGTTTACAGGAAACTGTACCATGTTACCTGATTAAAGTATTTGTGCTTTTTTGATAATCTGTACAACATACGGTTGTTCAGATTTATTGTTTGCTTTGAATCAGGTATTTAAAAGTAAAGAACCCTTGTCAGGCCTTCAGTGCATCAGACATATAGTGCTAGACCAATATATTTATAGTCAGCACCCGATGGGTGATGTGGTCAACCGATGTGCCAGAGCATTACCTGGTACCTAATTCAGGCAGGATTGAGCTGCAAACCAAGGTCAGTTATGAAAAAAAATTAACTTTAGTGTGGATTTGAATCCTAAACCTTTGGGCTGGCAAATGAACATCTATGGCTACTGCGGCTCCCATAAGATTGTTACTACTGCCAAAATGTTTAACTGCCAATTCCCTGTGTGTATTCCAGGCTCTCATTTAGGGTGAAAGATAATATACACACTGCCTCTTAGTAAGCATGTTGTGAGGGGTAGCTCATTAGAGGAGCTGTTTTCGACATCGAATGCATCTGCCTGAGAGGTGAGGAAACAATAATCTGCCTGCAGATCAAAACTGTAAACGGGACATGAACGCGAAGCTCAAGTTCTGGAACAATAGTAAAGTCTAGAAGTGGACGAGCAACCAGAACTTTCCACTGGAGTTTACAGCTGGTGGATGCAAAGTAGAAGAAGAAACTGCCTGTTTGTTACACAAAGGAAGTAAAAAATAGTGGCACTCTAACCTAACCATAGGTGTTATAAAAGGCAACAGAGGAGGCTTCAAATGAGACCAGCTATCTTATGTAGTAAACTTAACTCCTTCCATACCAAGGAATGCCCATGTGTTGATTTGTAATTAATTTAACTGTCCTCTAGTCCTGATAAGAGTTAGGCTGCAACATCCAAGCAGTCATAAACAAATCTCCAAATGGCTTGGTCTGAGGTGGTTGAGGGCCTTTGCTCTGTTTGAATATGGAAGTCAGAAGATGACGAAAATGTTGAATGTTCTGATCTGTAACAACAGCTCCCTGTATGGAGCTCAGTGCCCCATAAATCAGACTTTAACTATGAACCTGCTGTCATATATAAAGACTTCAACCACCTATACAATATGCTGTCATAATCTAAACATGCTACCATAACTTTACTCTTAACTAACAACAGCATACTATCATATATCTTAACTCTAGAAATCAACACTAGGCTACATAACTTTGCTCTCTTGAACAAACAGCAGCCTGTTGTCATGAATCCTGACCTCACAAGCCCACTATTTGTTGTCATAATCATTAACAGTTCTTGGGCGTTTATAAATGTTTAGCCCACGTTCTTAAAGAGCTTCCTTCTAACTGTTTCTGCATCTGAAACAAATACTGGTTGTAAAGAATCCCACTACAGATGTTGATAATTGTTTTTGCTTTTTTTAGAAACTGACTTTATATCATTTGTGACTATAGTTAGTCATATTTCTGTTAGATGTTTTAACTCTTTTAGTCTCAGGAGTATCAACAGCAAATTTTTCTCGAAGGGAAAAGAATTATGAGACTAACAAGAGCTAGTTTCAAGGATGGAACATACATTAATGGGCCATATCAAAATGCCAGATATCTTTTGTATATTCAGACCCAGCAGAGTGATATTTATTACACATGATCAGTAACTGATCACACACACACACAAATTATTACATCTTGTCATCCCAGTAGGGCATGCAATTTTTCATTTTTTTTTAAAGCTCAACTCCGACTGTTGGTGGGGGGGGGGGGGGGGGACCCTAATATAACCTCATGGTTGAACAGGGTTTCTGGAAATTACGCCTGTGTGATTCTCATCCAAATGGTGGTACTTTATGTCACCGGGTGTTTATCGCTCGTGCGGTTCCTGGTGGGGTTGAACTTCATTAGACTGCTCACACACGATACGTTCCTTGAGACTGAAAGAGTTAATAATAGTCTACGAGTGAACCTTAGTCAGTCAGCTGGGATGTTGTTTAGTTTTGGTTAAAAAACATTGGTTACATGCCTTCTTTGTTATTTTGCATTTATTGGTTGTTGGAGTGTGTTAATAGACAATTTTTATTAAGTTTTGGTAACATACTTTAGAGAGGCCCTGGCCATGGCAATGCATAATCAGGTTAAACTAGCCAATTTCCCTATACAAAAATTTATTAGTTTGGACCCATGTAGCAGCGTTAGTACTTCTTTTACTTTTGGTCCATGCCATGCAGTGTTGGTAGTCATGTCTGCCCCCAACCTTCTGTCTTATGTACTTTCAGTCAGTTCTGACACAGATAATGTTTCATGTCATATGGTGTTGGTAGTCATGTCAGTCCGCCACCTTCTGTCTTATGTACTTTCAGTCACTTCTGACACGGATAATTTTTTCATGTTATGTGGTGTTGGTAGTCATGTCTGTCCGCCACCTTCTGTCTTATGTACTTTCAGTCACTTCTGACACGGATAATTTTTTCATGGTATGAGGTGTTGGTAGTCATGTCTGTCCGCCACCTTCTGTCTTATGTACTTTCAGTCAGTTCTGACACAGATAATCTTTTCATGGTATGTGGTGTTGGTAGTCATGTCTGTCCGCCACCTTCTGTCTTATGTACTTTCAGTCAGACCGCAGCAGCATCTTTTCTGGTCTCTCTCTTTCTGCCTCCTCTCCATCATTACGATTTACTTCAGTGTTCTCCTTGTCATGACCTGACCTGTAGTACTTGGTAGCCATATAAGTCAAAGTAAGACAAGGACACTTTTCTTGCATGTGGCCAGCCATATGATGTTAGACTCCAATTTTTATAGATCAGTCGACACTCACGGGTCGTGCATGGTACCCATTTTAGGCACAGTTGACCTAGGAGCCAAGGTCATTCTGTTAGCCATGTGGACATAAGTAATTGACCAAAATCAGTGAGCCAGTAAGCAAATGCATCAGCCTTTATACTACCTGTCCTGATCTTCTTAATGCTAAATTCATCAGCATTTAGCTACAACTACCAGTTCAGTGTTCATTTATGATCTTCCTCTCAGTCTTGGTGTGATTCATTTGTATATATGTAGGTATGTATGTGTGTGTGTGTGTGCTCGCGCCCATCAATCCATCCGTGCACCTCTTCCCCCCATTCGTGTACATTTGAACTGTTATCATTTGGTTACTGTCCTTCTCTTCTGCTCTTTACCCCTAATAGACTATAGCAAGTCTCATACTATCATCCTGTCTTTCGCCACAACCTGCAGCTCTCCCCCATATCCTTCTTGACTTATTTTGGCTCTCTCTCTCCTCTCTCTTTCTCTCTCTCATGTGTATGTGGGGGGGGGGGGGGTTGTTGATGTTGATTATTTTGCTCTCTAAATTAAACTTTTGATATAAAAACCATGTTCACAAAACTGTAATTCATCATCAGACTTTGCTATGAAGGCTGAAGTGTATGAATATAATGTATCTTTTTATTATAGGTCCACTGTTTTTTATTTCCTTTAACTCAGCCATCGTTTACATACTCTGTAATAATTATTTTACTGCTGAAATGTGAAGGCAGAGAAATAATAGTAGTGAAATTTTACGGCAGAGAAATGTTGGTGGTGAAATGTGAAGGCAGAGAAATGTTGGTGTTGAAATATGAGGGCAGAGAAATGTTGGTGAAATGTGTGGGCAGACAAATGTTGGTGGTGAAATATGTGGGCAGACAAATGTTGGTGGTGAAAATGTGGGCAGACACATGTTGGTGGTGAAAATGTGGGCAGACAAATGTTGGTGGTGAAAATGTGGGCAGACAAATGTTGGTGGTGAAATATGTGGGCAGACAAATGTTGGTGGTGAAAATGTGGGCAGACAAATGTTGGTGGTGAAATATGTGGGCAGAGAAATGTTGGTGGTGAAATGTGATGGCAGAGAAATGTTGGTAGTGAAATATAAAGACAGAAATATGTTGGTGATGAAATATGAAGGCAGGCACATATTGGTGGTGAAACATAAGGGCAGAGAAATGTTGGCTGTGAAATATGAGGCCAGAGAAATGTTGGTTGTGAAATGTGATGGCAGAGAAATGTTGGTAGTGAAATATAAAGACAGAAATATGTTGGTGGTGAAATATGAAGGCAGAGAAATGTTGGTGGTGAAATATGAGGGCAGAGAAATGTTGGCTGTGAAATATGAGGGCAGAGAAATGTTGGCTGTGAAATATGAGGGCAGAGAAATGTTGGTAGTGAAATATAAAGACAGAAATATGTTGGTGGTGAAATATAAAGACAGAAATATGTTGGTGGTGAAATATGAGGCCAGAGAAATGTTGGCTGTGAAATATGAGGCCAGAGAAATGTTGGTGGTGAAATATAAAGACAGAAATATGTTGGTGGTGAAATATGAAGGCAGGCACATATTGGTGGTGAAATATGAGGCCAGAGAAATGTTGGTGGTGAAATATGAGGTCAGAGAAATGTTGGTGGTGAAATATGAGGCCAGAGAAATGTTGGCTGTGAAATATGAGGCCAGAGAAATGTTGGCTGTGAAATATGAGGCCAGAGAAATGTTGGCTGTGAAATATGAGGCCAGAGAAATGTTGGCGGTGAAATATGAGGCCAGAGAAATGTTGGTGGTGAAATATGAGGCCAGAGAAATGTTGGCTGTGAAATATGAGGCCAGAGAAATGTTGGCTGTGAAATATGAGGCCAGAGAAATGTTGGCGGTGAAATACGAAGCATGACAGGCAAAAATAATAAAATACAAAGAAGGACAAATGTGAATTGGGGCCAGCCCGACACATGGGGGGGGGGGGGGGGGGGGGGCAAAGAAATTAAATACATCCCTGTGTGGGTTCCTAGTCCTAATTTTGGATTGGGGGAAATCCACCACCCCTTCACAAGCATGTCACAAAAAGTGACTAATTAGATGTGAAAACTGATGGGTTTTTCTCCAAAAGGTGCAGATATTGCAGCCTGTCTGTAAACCACAGCATTCTGACTGCCCTCTTTGTAGGTTGAGTGCAGAAGAAGAATAAAAATACTGATGCAATATAACACATGCAACAGATGCATAAAATACAGTGGCCTGAATCAGAGGTTCCACCATTAAAGCAACTGTAACGAAACTCTTGCTTTCATGTCCACAGGGGTTTTATCACACTGAACACTCACCTTCCTCTAACGTCCATGATGTCTCTTAACACCATTATGATCTCTGAGCAATTCCACACAGCTCATCCGCCAGGATCTGCGGAGTCTCTCCACAGCTATAGGTACACAAGCTGGTATTGTGAACCGTTCTCTGGGGCGGAGATTGTCTGCAGTAGTGCCTAGAAATACTTAGTTCATACTTCTAGGCTTGATAATATGAAACTTTTCCTAGTAGTTTTCACTTACAGAATGTGGGCAGAAGTAATGAGAATACTAGCTGGTATATTTCACATGATTTTTTTTTCTCTCTTGTGATAGTGTTTATTGTAATAAAAAAGAAAACATAAGATTGCACAATAAACAATAGATTTCACAATTTACTGCCTGGCAAATTTTGTTGCACTATTTCTGGTCTGTTGGCTCTGTGGCTAAGTCGATGCGAACGCTTCGTAATGCCGGGTGCCGGGTTCGATCCTAGCTGCGGGCCATTTGCCTTGCATTGGTTTTGACAGTGGTACCAGGGGGCCGACCATCCAGAAGCAATGGCAAACTACTGGACGTAAATTTGTCTACAGAAACCACACAATAGCCAGGGGCTGCTGGGGTTGGTTCTGCAACGTCCTGTAAAGGATACGCAACTAACCTAGTTCTGGTCTGTACCAGTGACAGAATAAATTTAGTGTGCACCTGACAAAATGTGGTGAATATATTCATTCCTTGTCCTGTTGTGCCATTTACAGTGATGTATGTTAGGCAATCAGTTGTGCAGTCTGTTGTTATATCTTTTCTTTGTTCACATTTACACTAGGGAAATATTGCTTTTAGCTTTTTCTTTTTAATTTTTATTATTTTTTTTTTTTTATATATATAATTACTGCACTTTTATAAATTGATTCATGCTTCTCTAACTGACATTATTTACATAATAGTGTTGAAACAGAGTTAATGAACTGGCTTTTCATTTAATGACATTTATTTAGCTCAGAAAATGTTGAGGCACAATTACATGTTGTGATTTTAGTCCAATGATTGATTACAATTTATGTAGGCCTACTGCAGACAATTCCCTATACCAGATTCCTAGCAGCTTTCCATTTCTGACTCATATACCCCACTGAAATTATTCATTTAGCATTCTGTTTATTTGACTGCTGACTTTGCCAGCTTGAATGCCTGCCTGCCTGCTAACTAACCTGCATAATCACTTTAGACTGATATACTTGGGGCTCACAGTTTTCAGGCACTATTAGTCTTTGAATATTTGCAGTTCACCATTAGTCTTTGAATATTTGCAGTTCACCATTAGTCTTTGAATATTTGTAGTTAATAGCACAATTGTTTATTTTATACTTAAATACTGAAGGCAGACTCAGAAATTGTTGTTGTATTCTGAAGTGGAAAATAGGGTGGGTGTCCTACGGAATAAGATATGTGAAATTACACAAGATGCATATTAACTTGCCGATTTAAATAGTTGATCTGGGACCGAGGAAGTAGAAGAGGCAGGTGTGGTGTTAATCACATCAGCCATCAAGCGCCAACTAGTCTACAAAAATATGGGTTTAACATCAGAAGTCATGGCATGTTAAAAGTCTTTTCTATTAATTTTCTCTCACCAAGATAGTATCGTAAGCCCGCCCCCTTTCGCTACGCAGAAAAAAAACGTATTGTCTCAGTTGATGTTTGTGTGTATTGACAATACAGTCTGGGCCTACCTAAAAAAAAAAAAAAAAGATACTTTCCTGTTGAAAACAGGATTTATGATCATCCTAAGTGGTTGGCCTTTTACTATCGATTCCTAGCCTTAGGTTAAGGCCCTTTAGTGGCAGGGTTGCAGTTTTTAGACCAGTTCATTTTCTGGAGGAGTCGCCATGGCATAGTGGCTTGACGCTTGCGTGCAGATCGAAAGGTCGTGGGTTTGCTCCCTGGTGGAGCAACAATGACCTTGACTCCTAGGCTGACCCACTCTTGAGTGGGTACCTGGTTCAGTCCCGGGAAGTAAAGGCGGCCAGCGTGATGCTGACCACATCACTCATCTCGTGCCGATTGGTCTGTAAAAATATAGGTCTAGCCCTACACGCCTAAAGGCTTGGGAATGGGACCTTTACCTTTTAACTTTACTTTTTTTTTTTTTCATTTTCTGGGGGTCTGTCTAGTCTCATAAAATGGGTACTAGAAGATCTGAAGAAATAAAAGCAGCTGACATAATGCTGGCTCTATTTCTCTGCTTGTGCAGTTTGGTTATTTAATATATTTACCTAGCACCATAACCAATATCACAGTCATTAATGAAGAAAATAAGGGCTTTAGAGCTGATATATTACAGACAGGTTCTCAGAATATCATAGACAATAAATATGGCCAGATTTTTAGCTATTGTGGGCAAAGATTTTTGTTACCTAATGTTAAACTTGTATTTTTTTTTTTACTTTAGCACAAATGTTAGTCATTTCTTAATACGATCTTTCTCCCACTCATACCTTCCACCTATTTAGCAGTTTAATTGCATCTTTACAATAACTGGGGGCACACATACAGCTCTTGGGTGTTTTGTTTATGACTGACTGAATACTAGTGTGTAGCCTTGTTTTTATATTGTCAATTGCCCTGCTTAATGGCTCGATATGGAGTAAGTGAACATCTCATTGAAGTTTGCAAAAGCCTATATAGCGACTGTAGAAGCATATTTAAATAAACCAGGAAAGTAACATCTGGAGTAAGACAGGGATGTTTCTTATCACCACTCCTGTTTATCACCTACATTGACAGTATAGCAAGGATGCCAGGCCAAAGAATGAAAATAAAAGTTACATAAACAAATTACTCTTTGCTGATGACCAGGCCTTGATTGCAGATACAGCCATAAATTTGCAACAGCATTTCACATCCATGAATGAAGAATGTAAATCAAATAATATGTGAATCAACATCAAAAAGACAGAAGTAATGTCAAAAGGAAGAAAGAAGCAGGATGTAAACATAAATTATTGGGGCAGCTGGCCCACCTCTTACAGCAAAGGGCAATCCCAGTCAGCACAGAGAGACATCTCATACAAAGCATATTCATTCCCACCCTGTGCTACCAGTGCCAGACCTCACTCTAAAACAAAACATAAAAGAAAATTAGTAACCATAGAAATGAGGTGTCTGATAAAGGCTGTAGGAGTGACCAAAAAAGATAAAATCAGAAATTAGGTCATACTAAATAAAGTCGGCACAGAACCAATTCTAAATTACATAGAAAGACAGCAAATCAAATGGTTTGCCCACTTGGAGAGAATGCCTTCTGATGCTATACCATACAAGGCATATACCAAAAGAGGAGAGGGATGAAGAGTGAGAGGGACGTAGAGTGAGAGGTAGATCAAGAACAAGATGGAAGGATAACAGAGAAACTCTACAGTGCCAACGATGTGTCTTTAGTCGAAGCAGCCAGAAAAACACGATCAGGACCTTATTTCTTCCTCGACACCCGAAGCGGTAAAAGAGGACATAAAGAAGAAGAAGAAGAAGAAGAAAAAGAAGATTGCCCTGCTGTTTGGGGACAAGGTAAGGGACAATACCTGATCACACACCAACATGCTTGCCCAGGTTTCTTGACTTGTTTGCACACAATGTGAAATCCAGCATTTGTCATTGACACAAGGGGGAAGACTCATGGCCACAAAAGTTCACACTTTGACTGCAGTGCCCTCCTCCTGATGTTTAAAGCTGAAAAATGTGGAGAAAAATTTAGCCCATAGTTCTTGCATTATATCACATTCAGATATGCTATGTGACTCTAGCAGTGTGAACATTGAGGCTGTTTGTGGCTCTGGTTGTGAACTACTTGTCTGCATTTATAGTTTTGGTTTCCTTCTTATCTGTAATCCTTATGCAGTATGTTTTGTGCATTAAGATTATAACAGCTATTGTGTGGCCAGCCATGCATTTGTTTAACTGTGTTATAATTTTTGAATGTGAATATATTTAGCTATCTACAGCCTGATTTCGTTATGAACTTTATAAATAAGCATAGTTTATAAATATGAATATTATATACATTATAATAAATGAAAGGAAGGGGGTTTGTGGGAGATTCATAAGAACAATTTTGATGGACTTGTGGGAAATGTCAGCTCACATGTCGATTGTCTGTTACAAGGATACAATTCCATCCTGTATATTTAATGCAGCTAGTTTACAGTTGTTGGTAACAAGTGTAAAAATGAAACTGCTGTTTCTCAGTGTGAACTGTTTCTCAGTATGAACTGTTTCTCAGTATGAACTGTTTCTCAGTATGGACTGTTTTTGTCAAACATAATAGATGACATATATTCTTTGTTTTATTACTGGAGAAAGATGAACTCTAATGAAGCTCTAAAGATGCTCTAAAGAACATTCATTTGAAACCTGTTCCATTGGCTTCTTTTACAAAAGCAAAAAGCTTGAAAGAAACCGACATGTGAAGAAAAAGCATGAAAGAAACCGACATGTGAAGAAAAAGCATGAAAGAAACCGACATGTGAAGAAAAAGCATGAAAGAAACCGACATGTGAAGAAAAAGCATGAAAGAAACTGACATGTGAAGATAAAGCATGAAAGAAACCGACATGTGAAGAAAAAGCATGAAAGAAACCGACATGTGAAGAAAAAGCATGAAAGAAACCGACATGTGAAGAAAAAGCATGAAAGAAACCGACATGTGAAGAAAAAGCATGAAAGAAACCGACATGTGAAGAAAAAGCATGAAAGAAACCGACATGTGAAGAAAAAGCATGAAAGAAACCGACATGTGAAGCAGAATGAAACAAAGCATTCATTTTGAATGAATTATACACCATGGGTTGGTCAGATAACGTTGCCTGAGACATTCAGGCAAGCATCCCATTACTTAGGTAGGCAAGAAATGATGAGGTCAGCAAAAAAAGAATTGGTGTTGCTCCTTGAATCAACCATTACTTCTGCATCTGTATTAAATCGTTGCCCCTTAAGAGCTTTTTTTTTTAGGGCTCTGAACAATTGAAAATTACAATGACAAATAAGTCTGGACATTACAAAATGTACCATTTCATCCATGCTAATGTTTCCTGCACATTCTTTGCAACATATGGACAAGCACGATCATGCAACAAAGTCATAC